TGCAACAGCCGAGGCTGCTGCGTATTAATTTTATTTATTTTTAATTCATTTATTTATTCTTTAGTGAAAACACTAAAAGGGGTTACAAAGGACGGACTCAATGCTTGCTGGCAATATCTACCAGTCAAACCGAAAACCGGCGCGAGGAGAAATCGTGGTAGGAGCGATAAATAAAATTGCATTCCTCATAACATATACGCTTTACACATAACAATAATAAACTTCGAACGCTATAATATAGGATATTAAAAAAAATCTTTAGCAAACCATATACTAATTATAATTATATGTTACTGGATATGGTTACCCGCCGCTTTGCTCGTGTTGAAGCCCTTAAATAAATATCTTTTTCTTTCTAATAATAAGCATCCTATGTCCTTTTTAATAACTCTAAGAATATGTGTGCAAAGTTTCATGACAATCGGTTGAGTAGTTTTGGCGTGAAAGCGTAATAAACAAACTTACATTCACATTTGTAATATTAAAAATTGGGTATAATAATGCGTTTTAGTTAAAAAAAAAAATAACTAAAGATTTTATCCCCTGTACCAGTACTCTTTGTTTGTGAATAAGGAATTAAACGCAATTCATAACGGTTTAACTAAATTGCTCGGTAATACCGTGAAGTTGATGAAATCGGTCCAACCAGCTTCATCGTGTAGCTTCTTGGCTGTTCGTGAGCGCGCGCATCCTAAAACTTTTACTCTGATCTTTTTTTTAAATCCGCCAAAACAAGTATAACTACAAAAATAATGTCTAATATTTTTCTATTACTCCATAGTTGAAAGTGGAAGCATTGGTACTATTAATTGCTGTTCATGACGTAAGCGCCGCACTCTCGATGTAATTACAGTCGACATTTTATGACGATAAATAAACATTTGTTTTTAAATATTATTCTAGTGATCATAGAATATTAATCGTGGGTTTCCCAAGTCTCAGTAAGTACGTACCTAGGGAATGTTGTCAAACACATCTGAGTTTACTTTGTTGAAAATATTTGGCATAATATATCTACGGAGATTCGCAAGTACGCGACGGATTTTGTATTGGAGGTGAGTTAGATGAAAACTGGTGGATGGTTACTGTTCTTCTTAAATGTCTTTTATTCGATGTTGTGTTTGCCTTTAGCTTAAATACATATATTAAATGTTAAACTATTTCAATGTATTCCGTTGGTAAGCCTGTTTAAGTCGAAGAACGCTCAGGATCATGTGATGATGGATACGTCTCTGATTAGGCGTTTGGCCCTTTTATTATTTATGGTCTTCACTTTGTTGTAGATGATAATAAAATTGAGAAATATAAACGGATGTCTACAGTTATTTCGAGGTAGTTAACGATGTCTTTGTTTGAAGCAGATAATAAGCAATTTCCACCGACGGCTCTGTAAAGATGGCTATCGAATAATGGTTCCCTGTGGTAATGAAATTATAAAGACTTGTTTCATCCATGACTTGGCTAGATGTACAACGATAGCAGTTATTAAACCACAACGGATGTATCCTTTAAATTGGCTTTAATTGTTCAGTAACTTGAATTATTCGTGTTAGAGTACATAGATTTATAGATGAACAAAAAGCAAGAAGACAAGGTGAGTGAAATATGTAATCTCTGCCAACCCTCTAAGTGTGACTCACTTGGATTTTTGTATGTACGCAGTACTCGGGTTCGGAGAAAAATATGTAAAGGTAATGTCGGTGTGATTTTTGAACCATCCAACTTGTTTGCGAACGTTTGTAACCTTTTTGTAACAGATACCTCACTGGCACTATAGACATTTGATTTAACAAAATACAAATAATACTTATTAATTAAAAGGAGAAAAAGACCCGCGAAAACGATACGACGCTATAAAACATTTTTAATGTTTTGTTTCGACCGAATCGGCTGTCCGAGAGACCGCATAGTCGGATGCGATTGAAATTTGACCCTTGTTGAATGGGTTAAGCACGTGTGTACCTAACACATACAATTCCTGTATAAATGTGATTTAAATTTTCTGAACATAGATACCGTAAAACCATCAAAAAAGATTTCATTGCTTTCTTTATTCTCAATTAGTAGAGTAGTTCTTAAAAAGTAATATTAATTTTACACTGTGTAAGGTATTGTTTACGGTATATCTATTACGGTATACCTATTATTATCTATATTTGAAATTTCATACAAAATCTTCCCAGCTCAAATACGTCAATTTAATAATATATTGATTTATAGCGTCAAATGTCCAAGGGCATTAGATAATGTATGTCAATTTCACTTTACAAAGTTAATAAATAATCTCGCTCTTCGACAGACAGGAAATGCAACTGACCAATAGCAGAATTGACACTCAAAGGCAACGCACGCTTTATCCAGCAATTAGGTGACAATGGAACTGTTGACGATAACAATATTGACCAGACAGGTCAATCTCTAGTAAAATGAGAAGCCACAATAACTTTCCACCTTTTATTTACTTGGGGAAGTCCCCACGAATACCCGCCATGTCGGGGATAAAGAAAATTGTCAAACTCTCATCGACTCATGTGACGGTCACGTAAATGTTTCATTCACGTCCGTGACGCGTCGAGCTAGGGATCTCAGCAGCCTCCTCTCAGGGTATGCTCAGGGTTTATGTTTTTACTGGGTATACCTTTACTGGATTGCCGGACGCTCAGTCACAACATTCCTTGTCAACTAATGAAGACGTAATTAATATTTTGTGTAGACCTTACTTGGTAAAATCATTGAAATGAAACCCCACAATACGGTCAAGTGATCACGCACTTAATATACATGAAGTTAGCAGGAATTCAATACTTAATCGAGTATTGAATTCGGACTGCCGATTGGATTTAAATGAAACATTAAAAGTATTTTAAAGCATCTTATCGATGTCACGCGCCTTTTTTCTTTTTCTCCTTTTAAATAATATTATTTGTATTCTGTTAAATCAAATGTCTATAGTACCAGTCAGATATCTGTTACAAAAAGGTTATATATGTTACGCAAAGAGGTTGGATGGTTCAAAAAGCCGAAATTAACATTTTTCTCTGAGACCCGAGTACTGCATACATACATAAATCCAAGTGATTCACACCTAGGGGGTTAGGCAGAGATTACACGATTCGCTCACTACCATACTTGACACCTTTCTTGTCTTCTTGATTTTTTCTCATCCATAAATCTACGCACTCCAGGACGACTAATTCAGGTTACTGAATAATTAAAATTCAATTTAAAGGATGCATGCGTTGTGGTTAAATTCCTCCTATCATTGTAGATCTAGCCAAATCATGGACATAACAAGTCTTTATAATTTCATTACCACAGTAAAAACTTAACCAGGCACCTTCTCCTACCGTTTAAAGACAACATTCGTATTTAATGACAAATGCTTACAATTCCGCTACCTGTTTAGTCGAAGGCCATTGTTCCGCGCCGACGCTACAACGCTAAGTCATCTATGTCATCGTATCATTAGCAGGAAGTACCAGCTATCATCCTGCAATTAGGTGGGTGACGGACGAGGCGCATTTCGTATGTTTGAGATTTTTTTTTTAGGCCTTGGGTCCGACGGACTTGAGGTGGCCTGGCGCACGAGCGCGCCTGAACCTTCGTCTATTATTACGCGTTCTGGTGACTTAGCTCGAGGGCTCTCGGGGGAGCCTCGGCTCGGGCAGTCACGCTTATTGTTACCGGTTTGGGAGGCCGCCAAGCTCTTAGGGCGCTTTGGCGGGCGCTCCATGGAGTGATCAGGCTCAAGGGTCCCCGAGAGGGGACCTCGGCTTGGGCTGTCACTCAGCACGCGTTTAGCATTCCGATTCGAGGGTGCCCGAGAGGGCCGGACCTCGGCTCGATCGGTAGCTATTATCTGACTGGAATTTAGCTATTATCTGACTGGAATCATTTGAGAAACAAATGTGTGCTTTTATATTACAGGCTCGTTAGACAAGTAGGTAGGGGTAAGTCATGTGTTCGCCGGCATGATTTGAGCTGGTTGAGATCGAGACTTGGCTCGCTTAGCTGTGGAGTTAACAGGTTGCAGTTTGCAATAACTGTGTAACGTTAAATAACACAATTACTAACATACCAACAAAATTTTTCGAAATAATGTTTTATGTAGTTAAAGCAGGTAGGCAGGTAATCTCTGCATTTAATGATTAAATTTTTACTTTTTTACAATAGACACGAAACTTGAAACTTTATCTTGAAGGCTACGACTATGTGATAGATACCTTTAGTTCAAATACATATCAAAGAATATGCAGCAAATATTGTACTATATTTAATGTATTGAAGTTCATTCAGAGTATTATTTTTAGAACCTGTAATGGCTACACTCTCTATCATCAGAATCTTTATAAGTAAGGTAAATTTTGCAAATTGGAAGGCGGTGCACGTTGATTTTTTATAAACTACACCATCGACTGTAAATAACTTCCCGATATAGAAGCTTAACAGCCAAATCAAACATTGTATCACTAAATTGTATCACTTAAGCATTCAGATGCTATCGTAACATAGCCTGGCATAGCAAAGCATTCAACTGGCGTTTCGGCACAATGGGACACTTTGTAGTATTTGATTGTTGAACAGTTTCATTGTTAAGGTTTTGTGCGATGGCGTGTTTTTTAGTCGGATCTTTGTCAATTCAAACATTCGTTTTTAATTTATTGAAGAACTAGTTGCTAACCTCGTCTCACTAGTTGCATCTTGCTCTGCTATTTTCTTCCATCGGTACCTATCCTATTTTTCTAATCTGTCGTATATATTAGTGCCAGCGACTCGCCCCGGCTTCGTACGGGTGCAAACTATAACACATATAAACCTTCCTCTTGAATCACTCAATCTAGTAAAAGAAATCAAGGTCCTTTATGTAGTTTAAAAGATCTAAGCATACATATTGACAGACAGACAGCGCGACGACTTTGTTTTATGCTATGTAGCGATGAGTGTACTCTTAAGTGAATGGGCTACACAACCCTGGCGTTAATAGGCCAATTTCTTTTTAGATGCGTGGTTCCCGAGTGCGAGGCCGCCAACAGCACGGAGTACAACCCCTCGTGGCTGGCGAGCGCCCTCCCACCTGGCGGGAGGGAGAAGCGGTGCTTCAGCAGGGCACCCCTAGATGACCAGCTGCCCTGTCAAGATGGTGGCTTCGCGGAGGAGTTACGCTCCTGCGACCAATGGCTCTACGCGTCCAAAAACACCATTGTGTCCGAGGTAATAAAGAACTCGGGTACTCGCGCACATGTGTACCTAACTGTGGTAGGGCCACGCAACAGTTTCGGCTGTTGCACGAATGGGCAGGTCCGTCCGGGTAAGTAACACGACCTCACAAAAGACCGGTGGGTAATGGAAGTGTCATGCTTCTGCGTTTCGTCTGGTGCGTGAGGTAGCTGGGATCCATTTTCTTAAAAGGTGGCAATACATCAAATGTCCATGGGTGGTGGTTAGTACTTAAAACATCAGGTAACCGCCAGCTCGCTCGCCACCTCCTTACATAAAAAATGTCCCCAAATTGCCAGCCACCAGCCGGGTTTTACTATATCATCTTTCGGTTCATCTTATCTTAGACAGCCAGGCAGATAGTATAGACAGTAATAGGGTCCTTTAACCCTTAGGGTCCGGAACCCGAAAAACCGCCAAAAGGTAGAAAAGTAACTTTAGAGTAGCCAAAACATTAGATAAAATATAATACATATAAATGCTTCGAAAAGCATTACTCTTCTTCGACAGTCGGTAAAAATAAAGTTTTGTAAGTTTGTATTCTAATAATCGCGGCGTGTAGCGCTTCTTTATTACGTTGTGTTGCTTTAGATTTTTTTAAACTTAGCGAGATACGAAGGAAACGTAATTTTAAAGCAATTTTATGAATCGCGTACAAGACATTATTCGAGATACAGGAAAGAATCATTGCCTTTTAAGTATAGGTATAGATTGAGGCAAGGACTACTACTTAGAACTAGCTATGTCCTAAGGGTAGGAAAGTGGGCTATTTAATGTAGGTAAATTCAACATCAATAAAAAAAATAAAAAAACGGACTACAATTCCCTTGCTACTTCATTTAACACTATCGCTGGTGTTAAATGATTGCTTATGTTTAATAATTACCTCATGCTGGTCTCAATAAGACCTTGTATAAGTTTTTAATGTCTGAAGGTGTAAACTGTATTAGTAACATCAGGTGAACCACCTGCTCGCTCGACAACTGGCAAGCGAGCTGGCGATTCACCTGATGTTAAGTGATAACCGTCGCCCATGGACATTTGGAACATCCGAGGGGCTGCAGATGCGTTGCCACCTCTTAATAAAGTGGGCGCCGGTTACCTCATTAACCAGGCGAAACGCAGATGTGTAATACTTCCACCTCACGCCGGTCTTCTGTGAGTGCGTGGTACCGGGATGGACTGCCCATTTACAGCAATCTGTATTTATACGAAAACGTGATGTAATCTTCGAGTTTTATCTTACTGTTTGCTACAGAGATTCACACAATCTCAATTTTTCACTCCCATTATGGGCGACGTTCTAATAATTTCGTATTTACGACCAGACATTGTCATCTGTACCGATGCCCAATTTGTTGGTTCATCTCGCGCGATTCTTAAACGGAGAACAGAAACGTCGGTCGGTCGTGAATCAAAGTAATGTTTGTACACATACATATTTCAACGAGTTTTTGTAAACAATTTTACCTAGCAACATTAACAATTTGAATTGCGTTACATTATAAATAAATAAATAAATAAACAAACCAAACTAAGCAACGCTTGTATTATGGGTACTAGAAAACTGATATAAATACCTAAATATACTTGTAAATAAATACATATATAAACACCCAAACACTAGAAAAACACTATGTTCATCACACAATATTTTTCCAGTAGTGGGGATCGAACCCACACCCTCTGGCGCAGGAGGCAGGTACACTACCCACTACGCCATTCGGGTCGTCAATACATTATACGTATGGTCTACAATAATTTTATAATCAATTTCTTTTCCCGTTTCCATTTTCGCTCCAAGTTTTTTTCGTTTTTTCCAATACTCTAACAATGCCCTATTAGGTGCTACTGTGAATGTTATCTGGTATGCTACGTCAATATCATTTGATAACGCGAAAAATTGTTAAAGGACAGGCTTGTAAGCGAACCGTGAACACCTATTAATAAAGCTACTTGATATTTAGGAGTCATATAGATTATGTTTAAATGATTTTCTATATTAATTTATTTACTTTTATTTTATTTATTTCACCTTTTTATTATTAAATTAGTTTATTTGTATTTTAATTTGACCACCGTAAATTTTACAGTTATCTTATTGTGTATTATATTTCGATAACCTAATTATATTTGATCGATAACTTCACGGCGCAAAAATCTCGATGTCTATCACGCAATTTTTACAATGCTTGGCATTGCAAAATCTGATGGCAGGGCCTAAAGATTTTCGACAATTGGACGTATTTATGCGGAAACGTTCCATTCCACAAAGATCACAATTTGAGAAAAACACAATTTACTATTTCAATGGTACCCTTTTTTGCCCTAACTAGTATTGACAATTTATAAGGGTAAAATCGTAGTAAAATATGGTCATTTCCTAATCAAGTTCCATTTTTTATTATATTTACATTAAAATGGTAGGTAATTAGGAAAAATCGTATTGGAACATTTTTGCAAAACTGCTTATTGTATGAACCCTCATTTCTAATCATTTTGCAAAAATGTTACAAAACTATATTTTATGTATTTTTATATATAAGAATAAAATAAATATGAAAATTACAAAGACAAATATTAGTTAATAATTTTTTATTCAAAAAGCTCAGTCAAATCAAGAAAAACAGACAGTACGTACAGCATTGACAGAAGCGCTGTGACTCACTAGTATAATTCGAAATAATTTAATTAATATATTTATATATAAAACCTGACGACCTGTGCAAATGTGCGGGAAGTCGATGGCAGGATCGTTCGTGGCAGTCTGTGGGGGATATTTATATGTTGATGATGATGATTTATATTTATATATAAAATTTTAATATTATAATGATTAATTTTATGTTAAATAAAAAGGTACCCCACGTTTTGAATCGTTCATGCGTTACTTTATTTATTTAGTTATAAGGTTCCAACCACATTGAAGCAATGTTTCCAAGAAAAAAATATGTTAATTAGGTTTAATCAAATGATCCAAGATTAATTGTTCTGAACCAAAGTTTTAATTATGAAGCTCCTTAAAACTTTCATAAAACCCAAGTTTGCACAATACTGGAGGATAAAGTTGTTGGTGGGCCCTTATTTTACTTTTAATTGCATGTCTATGATTTACGTATTTCGTTTTAGTATTAAATCTTCGCATGAGATCCCAATTAAGCATTTCCTTCAGTCATAATGCACGCCTTTGGCTTTAGAATCCGCCCCCTTATGTCGCTTTATATGAGTATTTTTTATATAAGACTGTCTTCATCAAGGTTATTGATGAAGCATAAGAGGATTTCTCTTACACCATTACGAGGGGCGTTCAATGTATTCTCGGTATGGGCGAAAGAATAAGCAGAAAATTCTGAATGAAATTTATTTTTCTACGTGGTAGGGCCACGCAGCAGCGTCTGCACTAATGGACAGGCTCGTCCGGGTAAGTACCATGACCTCATACCGACGTGAAGTCGAAGTATACTTTCGCGTTTCGTCTGGTGATTATCACTTTTTTAAAGGTTGTCAACGCATCAACAAGCCATCGGTTGTTGTAGAAGTCCATGGACATTTAACATATGGCCGCCTAATCGCTTGAAAGAAAGCCCTCCATCACCTCAATACGCTTATTACAGCGGGAAAAATGTTGATCGAAGAGAGTCTTTGACTTATGTGATAATTTAATTACCTTCATCATTAGTATATCACACTGATACCGAGAATACATTGAACCTTAGTTATGCGAATGATTTCCTTCTGAGTATTCGTATATGGAACCGTGATGCTCAGTGTCCGGGCGCTCGCCTTTAATTCAATATACTCGAGCAACCTGAGTTCGATCCCCGGTGCCGGCACCAATGAAATTGTTAATTTCAAGTGCTGAATTGTCACGTGCTCAGCGGTGAAGGAAAACATCGTAAAGAAACGTGCATATTTTCGAAATAATAATCAAAAAAAAAATATTTCGAAGATATGTGAAGTCCGCCAATCCGCAGTGGGGCCGCGCGGTAGACTATGCCCTGATACCCTCTGTACAGAGGAGGCCTTTGCCCAGCAGTGGGACATGTATAGGCTGATACTTTTTTACTTTACTTATTCGTATATAAGTATTTTTCAATTCAATTTAACGAGAAGTCAACTGAGACATAGCAGCACAGGTCTTACAGGTGTGCAACACAAAAAACAAGTCTTTCTTTTTTTTTTATGCGAAAAGTTGTCAAACGAGCAGACGGTTCACCTGATGTTAAGTGAATACCGCCGCCCATGGACATCTGCCACACCCGAGGGTTACAGATGCGTTGACAACCTTTTGAAAATTGGGCTCCGGCTACCTCACTCACCAGACGAAACGCGAAAGTATTTGTCATACTTCCACTTTACGCTGATCTTCTGTGAGATCGTGGTACTTACCCGGACGGGCCTGCCCATTCGTGCAACAACCGAAGCTGCTGCGTGGCCCTACCACCGTATCGAAGTCGAACTCATTTAAGCCGTTGCTGCACCAGCTTAAAATTAATCAGCTGCCATTTGAAGCTAGCATCTTCAAGACAATCAATAAGGTCTGATTTCGCAGCGTTCGCATCCACTCCCAATGTCTTTACCCTCAAGTGAAACACGCCCATCGATACTGCGGTGCCGAGCGCCACTTTAACGCCTCACTTAGATCGAACCTTGATCCAGATTTTGAGTGGTTTCGCAATTGTTTTATATACAACAATACAGTATAGTGAAGGCGTAGAGCGACATTAAATTTAATTGAATTTTATTTTTATATTCCTCTGTTCGAATCCAAAAGACTGTCATGGTCTTCATTCATCCACACTACTTTTTTTTTAGTATTATAAAATAAGTACTTGCGAAGCATCACCCTCCTGCCCCTATCTCGGTATCGTCGCAGTGTAAGTGAATGTGGGATGTATGAATGATGTGTGGAAACAAATACTCAGGTCCGGAATCATTATCCGTGGGTCACAAAAATGGTTGTCCCGTATGAGAATCGATCCCATGACCCCCGGCGCCCAGGCCAATGGCTTAGCAACTCCGTCACCAAGTATGTTAATGTTGAAAATGTGAACTTGCGATGCGAATGTTTAACAAAAAAACAAAGATGTATAAGTATTTTTTATGTTTGTTTCTTTTAAAAGCTTTACTTACAGTCGTGTAAATTGTGTTATTTCATTTAAATTAATGTAGCGCATGCTAAAAGCATTTTTTATTTTAATTTTTGCAGAATTTTATTAAAGCAGATACATATAATTTCTATTGCACGTTGGTTGCCATTGGTTGCCTGGAAGAGATCGCTATGAAGCGATAAGGCCGCCAAATTGTACATTGCATAAATTTGTTGTTCTGTTGTTACTTTTATGTATATTCTTATTTGTGGTGGACAATAAAAGTGTAAAAAAAAAAAAAAAAAAAAAAAAAAAAAAAGATGCCTAACATAATGTCAATTTACTGTCTTTTGGTTTATGTTGCCGGAAAACATACGAAATAATGGAGGATGCCTGTTTAAAAAAGTCGCATGATATGATTTTTTTTCCCTTTTTATAGATAATGGTACGGAGCCATTCTTGCGAGAGTCCAACTCGCACTTGGCCGGATTAATTTTTTCATTTTTCTTCCTCTTTCTATTCCGACAATTCGTTTCGTTTCGTTGGTATATACAGCGTGTCTTTACAATCGCGACAATAAATGAACAAATAATTGCCAATAATCATAAAAAAATATTAACGTTAAAAAAATCCATAATTAAAAAAATTTTTTTTTCAAACAAACTAATTAAGTAAAAAAGAAGCAAAATTTGTAACATCCTATACAACTACAACTGACTGATTCATACATTCGGAGAGTTTTTCATTCGTTGTCGCAGCGTCACATTACAAGCCTTTCCTTCTAACAGTATGTTTTGTCTCTTTCATATTCATTCATACCATTCATATACTTTGTGACCTTTACAAAATTAACTTTACGTTACAGTTTTATACCTAAGGGTGTTCTAAAATTCGTTGTTTTGGAAAATTTTATAACTCGGTAAATATTGATGTTTAAAGAATGTAAATGCTTAATACAATTTTAAAAATTTATGTTCTATATGTGTGTTCATTATTCTCGCGAGTGTAAAGACACGCTGTATACTCGTATAATGTACAAATTTTCTTCATTCTACTTCTATCTGTTTTTTACCTTAAATTTGTTTATTTTACTGTATACATATATACATTGTCTTCCACGTATTATCTTTTGTATCTTACCCATTACTGATACTTCGCCAGATTATCGTTTGATTTATACGTTTCATATCGGTACACGTTTCAACTCGAAGTTAATGTTTACATTTAAGTTATAACACATTGGGTACCTATAGTGAAACGCTACACGAAGGTCAAATCAGATCGCGGCGGAGAATTGCAAACGAGTCGAGGTCATTTCGTGACCTCTCAATATGAAAGACTAGCTGCTGCCTGCGATTACGTCTGCGAAGAATAGGCTGAAGGCGTAACGTTCAGATAGAAAGACAGATGATATACATAAAATATGTATATAAATTATAGCCTATGCCTCATTCTGATGTATAAGATGTATTATTGTAAAGTTTCATTAAAGTCCATTCTGTAGTATTTGCGTGAAAGAGTAACAACCATCCATCCATAAATACAAATTTTCGCGTAATTTATAATATTAGTAAGGATGTAATATCGTAATCTGAGCAGCTTGATCTGTACAATTGATGAGGATAGGGATGTTGCACCAGCCACCCATGTGACGTGGGTTTGATCCCGCATGGAACATATTGCTTTACAGACATTTTGTTTCTATTATGATTATATGTATTTTCTGTTCATAACTTTTGTTGATGGCAAATTTTTCGTAATTGTTCTACAAAGGCAAGCTAGCATATTTCTTAAATAATAATCAACAGAAAATTTTAAATGCAGGATGATAAATCCAAAACTTTTAAAGTCACATAGGTGAGAGTTGTGCTGGAACGAAAAACACTTTAAAATCTATTGTCAACTTATGATGAATGTAAAGTAACGGTGCGATAGAAAGAATAACACGATGAAACTATTTGAATCATTTTTATTTTGATCTGAAATGAACGTCTCACTAGCTAGGCCGTTGCTACTTTAGCGCTATCAATAACTTGTAGTATAACAGTTATATTTGTTTTCAGTTTAATTTGGCGTGCCAGGAGTGGAAACGCACGCTGGTGGGGACAATTCATAACATCGGGATGCTGGTCTCTCTCCCCATCCTTGGATATATATCTGATCGGTGGGTATAACTATATTTGTAACATCCTCACATGTGACAAGTTCATTTAACGACGAGCATATTAAGTCCCGTGTCAGCTTTTGAGGTTCGCATGCTTGATATGAAATAACGAATTATTAAGTCCCGACGAGTTTATTAAGTCCCGCGTCTGATTTTGAGGTTTTCATCGTTGATCTGAAAAAATGAAAACAATTAAGTGCGATTCGTAAGTTTTTTTCCGTTCGATACATTTATAAATTTTAATAATAATAATGTATTTTCTGTGATAACAGATGGGGTCGTAAAAGGGCCTTGATATTGAGTTGCACACTTGTCGGAGCCATTGGATCACTGAAAGCCTTCTCTATCTCCTACGAAATGTACGTCATCGTGGAGTTCCTTGAGACCGTTGCCGGTGCCAGCGCTTTCCCAGCTGCTTACATTCTTAGTATGTATTTCGACTTAATTATTTGATTAAACAAATGAACTATTGTAAAAGATAAGATCTTATATCTTCAAACATCAAATATTTTACCTTAACACAAATATGCCCGCCGGAGGGATTGTGGGTACATTGCCAGTCTTTAAGTTGGTGTTTCTGCAGTTTCTAGAGAATCAGTTGTAAGAAAAGTATAGGTCTTAATGCTTAAATCAATGTAATTTTAATCAAAGCAGTTTATCAAAGGAAGTGTATTAAAGTCAGTCACATATCTTTATTCAATATAGAAGCATTACACTTCCTTATTGATTGTCAAAACATTCTACTACTGGTTCGGAAAGTAGTCACTAACCTGAGAAGAACCGTCGAAAGAAACGCAGTGAAACATTTTTTTTAACTTGACGAAAATTAACAAACATGAGTGTACAGCTTGAAGCGATCAATTAATTTCTAGAGTGTGTTATCATTCAAATATTCACTAATACTATAATAGCCCTTAACACACAAACGTTCCTTTACAAGTTTTTTGAATTTTGCTATATCCATCCGTATTTTGTGTATCTATCTATTCATATATGTTCCACTAAAGTGACGAACATGGATCTAGCAAAGCGAAATATATCATGTTAGAAAGTATTGTTTGTTTGTTAACCATGATTCTCCACATCCAATATTTCAACTTGTGTTAAGGCCTACTGATGACAGGCTACAGTTAACGTCAGTGCCTACACCTCTCAATACCATGGCCATGTGTACGTATTTCTTAATTTATCTTAAATTGGTATTTTTGTAGATATTCGTTTATTCAAAAAGTCCATCAACGGCGCTATAAGAACTATTATTGCGCTTGATCTATATTATACACTCGTACAATGCTGGAATTGTGAATCAAACAGATCTTTTGTCGGAAACGCTTTTCATCGATAGAAACGCTTTTTAACAGTTCAAGTACATCGGCATCAAATAATTTTGTTAATTTATCACTCGTTTTATTTTTCTTGGCAATTATGAAACAAATTGTTGCTATTTATATATCTTGTTCCCTTCATTTTTGGTACTACTCCTCAATTCTATACAGGTCAATATTTATTTATTACTTTATGGTCCTTTCTTGGCATTGTTGAATTTTAAATTATTTTAAGATTAATTTATTTCAATGTTGATATATATTGTACAAAATTATTCTATTTATATTTTAGTTTAAGTACACTTTAACTTACTTTTTGTTAGTAAAGTTGTTGTTCTTGTGCTGTATGTGGTGTATGTTTTGCTTTTGCAAAAATGAAAAAGAAAACAAATTCATATCACATTTCTTAAATACAACGGATGGGGCCATGCAACAACTTCTGCTGTTATGATGATATTACAGCCGAAGCTGCTGTGGCTGGAAGCTGTGTGTGGCACCTCATCTGCAACCTTACGTATATGCCAAATTTTCATGGGTGGTGGTTATCACTTTACTTCAGGTGATTTTTAACATTTATTTTCAGCGATCGAGCTGTTGGGTCAAGACAAGCGAGTGCTTACGACGGCGTTCTTGGGCATCGTGCTAGTGCTAGGAGGCCTGAGTTTTGCCTTGCTAGCCAAAACCTTCCAATACTGGCGCACCTTTATACTCGTTGTCTACCCGCCATCGTTGCTCTTCCTATCCTACATATATCTGTTGCCCGAGAGCATTCGCTGGCTGCTTTCGCAGAACAGAAAAGAGGAGGCCGTCGAGATCATAATGAGAGCCGCCAAAATGAACAACGTCACGCTATCGGAGGAGACACTGAGCCAGTTGAAGACGGAGAAGATCATCCCAACGGACGAGAAGAAAGATCCGGAAGCAGAAGATGGCTTGTGGATCCAAATAATGCACTCGCCAATAATCATGACGCGTCTCGCCATCTGCTCCTGGTGGTGGATCACTTGCACCTTCGTCTTCTACGGCCTGGCGATAAACTCGGTGTCGCTGGCGGGCGACAAGTACACCAATTACATGTTGGTGGTGAGCGTTGAAGTCATCGCGGTGGTCACGAACGCCCTGGTCTTGGACAGAATTGGCAGGAAAAGGACGCTGCTGGCCGCGTACGTCGTCTGCGGGATTTCCTGCGTGGCTATAACCTTTGTACCTAAATGTGAGTCCAATTCGAATTTTGTTAATGAGAGCTTTTTTGTTTTGTCCCTTTTTTAAGAAAGTTTTCGCCAGTCGAGAATCGTTAGGCATTAAAATTTCATCTTACACTCAAAATGTGGATAACTTTAGTGTAACCTGGTTGGCATTGGTGTATCTAGGGATATTTTTCAGGGTGGGCCTAGGCCCTTACTACAAAAAAAATCGAACACTGTAGAACTGTTAAACAACGCAACGAATTTTAATGCGATTTTCAGCAATAGGAAGCAAGCAAGAATAGCAAGAGGAAGGTTTAAACGTAGATGCATATTATAGTAAAGAAAATTCGAGAAATTCAATATCTACATTGCACTTCAATCTGCTTTTGGCGATGAAGGATAGGTGTCCAGCCTAGAATTTTGAATCGGTAACCCAAAATCCTGGGGTGGGCACTAGTCCACACTGGGGTGGGCACGGCCCACTCGGCCCCCCGCTATATACGCCTATGCTGGTTGGATCATTAAGTATTGTAATTTTTTCAAGATTTATTTAGTTCTCCAACTCTTTCGAAGTTTTTTTGTTCAACTCTAACAACAAATATAAGGAATTATTTCTTTCTTCTGCATAAGTAAAAAAGTTACTTGGCATCCAACCTTAACCACCATAATCATTCGTGGAATCGCATCACGAGAATCGTTTCTTTTTCCGACAACAAAGTCAATTCTTGACAAACAATAAAACCAACCTTTTTATTACACATTAAGTCTCTTCTTATCGTATAATTATAAAATCCCTTTAGAGAAAAAAACTTGTTTGTATAAACAATCTTAACGATTTATTTTCACGACGATAAATACTTATTGACAACCCAGTAAACACGACCATTAAAATTTTTGATAATCAATTCCAGCTAGGCTCCCAATATAAAATGTCTAATTTTTTATAGTCAACCAATCCATAATAGCTAAATCTAGTGATTATATACTTTTTATGTCATCAGTTCTCAATTAATGCCAAAGTTAAATTCGTTGCGGTGGCGTTCCTAAATAGTATTTTTGGAAGATTACCCGACTACTGGAATGGTGTATTGGCCGATCCATCAGTTACAGAAGTATTCAGCTATCAACATTTAATTCATTCATATAGATACTCGTAAAGCTAATGCCGCTCCTTACAGCCATGTCCTGGATGGCGACGTCGCTGTATCTGATCGGCAAGATCGCCATCACCCAGGCGTTCAGCGGCATCTACATGTACACTTCGGAACTATTTCCCACGCACGCGCGCCACTCCTTGCTAGGCTTCTGCTCCATGGTTGGCCGCCTCGGTTCTATCATCGCGCCACAGATGCCGCTACTGGTGAGTTCAGTCACCTCGCCGACGACGGCCATACACATATAACTAGTACTATGATATAATGATGATATAATATTTCTAAGACACATTTTTACTCAACATTCCCAAACTAAGCAACGCTTATACCAGATATCTGATGAATGTAATAAAAAAATGCTTTTCTTTTGTAAATAAATACACATATAAACACCCAGATCTTAACAACAATAAACACACTTATGTTAATCACATAATATTTTTCCAGTAGTGGGGATCGAACCTACACTATCTGGCGCAAGAGGCAGGTACACTAACCACTACGCCAATCGGGTTGTCAATCGAATTTTTGTTTCAATTTCAAGTGATTGCAATTTTATCCCCAATCCATCATTTATTACTTTTTATTTTTCTTGTAATTAATGTATTTCAGTGAGCTATTATGCTTTTTGGATCGATGAACACAATCGAGGTATTTTAGCAGTAATTTTTTTGTTCCTGTCAGGTAGAGCAACGGTCAGTTTCCTGGTAGTATGTTACATCACGAATACTTATTGCCCGTGGACAAACTTCATTTACGTTTTCCTTTTCCAATTGGTAAATCGGACGAGCGCGTGCTGAATCGATCAATAAGTACATTTAAGTGTGATGAACTTGAACGCGAGAAGTACTCCAATTCAGCAATTGTCCTATTAAAGACAATTTACAATAGAACAAAAGAAAATTGAAGCGTTAATTATTTTTCTATAGGTGGTTCTGCATTTGAAGTTCTGTATTAGTACCTACATATATACAGCGTGTCGTTACAATCGCGACAATAAATGAACACACGTCTTATGCTACTTGCCAATAATCATATAAAAATAAAAAACGTTAAAAAAGTCCATAATTAAAAAAATATTTTTGAAACAAACTGATTAAATAAAAAAGAAACAAAATTTGTAACATCCTATACAACTACAAATGACTGATTCATACATTCAGAGACTTTTTCATTCGTTACGACAACGTCGCATTACAAGTCTCTCCTTCTAACAGTATGTTTTATCTCTTTTAGATTTATTCAACCCATTCATATGCTTTATGACCTTTACAAATGAACTTTACGTTACAGTTTTAAGGTGTTCTAAGAATGTTTGTTTTGGAAAATTTAATGACTCGGTAAATAATGTGTTTAAAGAATGTTAATGCTTAATACAATTTTAAAAAATTATCCTCTATATGTGTGTTCACTTATTGTCGCGGTTGTAACGACATCCTGACATATAATTAAACCATTATTTTATATGTCATTTGTTTGAAGCATGCTTGTAAATTCACAGGCGATCTACGTCGATTGGCTGCCGTCAGTGCTTTTCGGCGCGACAGCCCTGATAGCCGGTGGGCTGATGATGACCACGCCAGAGACGCTGAACACGCGGCTGCCAGACACCATTCGCGAGGCTGAGCACATAACAGCAGCCCCTAGCAAACCACCAGCTACCAGCCAACAGCAAAAAGATGTGGCCACCTCACGTTGCTAACAAAGGCTCGCTTGGGCCATATTCTAACTTAATAAGACACACTTTAAAACTAAATACGTTATATATCCATTGTTTATATAAAAGTTAGTACTATAAATTGTAAAATTAAGTGTTTCAAAGATTTGAATGCGCTTAATTTTACTTACGATTGCCGCCGTTTCAAAACCTATCTTATTATTACTCAACCTATCCAATGTGTTCTAATTATGTCTCAGGAATATGAATAATATATAATGCAATCATACTTTATAACACCAATGATACGACTCATCATATTCTGTAAAAAAAAATTATGTATTACTTACGATTGCCGCCGTTTCAAAACCTATCTTATTATTACTCAACCTATCCAATGTGTTCTAATTATGTCTCAGGAATATGAATAATATATAATGCAATCATACTTTATATACGTGACATGATACGACTCATCACATTCTGTAAAAAAAAATTATGTCTTTATGGTGATTTTGTGTTTTCTAATGCATTTATAGTAAGAGTTAGAAATTTTGAGACATCATCTAGAGGTGTACAATTTGTTAATTTGGATGGACCCCAGTGCAACCAGCTCCGAGACTGGCTATAGTGACAAATCTCTTGAATAGAAGTGGTGCAATAAACTCATAAAACATCAAAAAGCGCTCGGGATAACTTGGGCGCCCGACGTTCATGTAAACTGTATTCGGTGCCAAAAACAATAATTTATCTACGATTGACGGTGCATTTAACTGATGATGAACGTTATTATATTTATTAAACTAACACGAGCCGGTCCACGAATAATTGAAGTGTGATATATTTTTACGTTTTTATTGCACGACCTGGATGTATTTATGAATCTATTGGAAGTTTTTGATTCAATATCTGTCCGTTTTTAGATTCTCACTCTTATCGTTCGCTTTACAGGCTGGTAATAATAGTATGGTGAGGAATTAAATGTGATCTTTTCTCAAAGTCTTTGTATAGATCATCGAGGTATCGTAAAAACGCTTTTTTATCGGTCTTATTAATTTGGCCCCAAATATGTATAGTTCGTCATCTTTCTAATTATTTATGTTAAAAAGTGAAGAATATTATAAAAGATAACGAGTTATTGAAATGGTTTTATTCAATTTGTGTGTTGTAAAATAAAAAGATAAGCAATATATTTGAAACATCTCTATTAATTTTTATTCGTCTAGGTATAATAGATATGTGGTTCTTATGTTAAGAGTGTTTATTTAATGGAACCAATGTTGATGTAGTTGCTATAATTTATTTATAAACAAAAATAATATTCGAAATAATATTCCTATGTTTAAATTATTAGTATTTGTTATTCAGTATGTATAACATTACAGTGCCAGATATGTGCATGTTACTGCATTTTCAATCAACATCCGTATAAATACAAAATTCAATCATAAATTTTATATTTTATTCCTAATTGTATGTTACGCCTGCGTCTATGCAAAACCAAATAAGGCTCCAGTTAAAGACAATTTATTTGATAACGATAACGAAGTTAAGGATGATGAAATAGACAATTTTTTTCAGAATGTCGTCCTCGCTTCTATGGATAGAAATAGTCTTGTTATTTTCAGATTTATTTTATTATGATTCTTCTTTTGACTAAACAAATCGATTAATTTATCTCCGCATAACCTAGAACGTCGACTTGCAGAGAATGTCTTAACCATTAAGACCGGCCTATGCACAAGATTTGAGTAAAACTTGAAAAATAAATAAGTGTTGGTCAGCTTCATATCAATATAATTAATAAGGAAGTTTTCGTGTGTTTGGTTCCTTCTTAAAGTTTAAAGTAATATCATAATATTTTTTTAATTTTTCTACATATATGTATTAATGTAATTATTTTTGCACCCTTATCTCACAACTTTGTCACCTTTATCCTGGTTGCCTGGAAAACATTGCTACCTTGGCAATAAGGCCTCCTTCATGTACACTATGTTTCATGTATTTCCTTGTGTACAATAAAGTGTATTCTATTCTATTCTAATGATATAAATCGTTGGTACGGAAGTTTCAGCACCCAAACATGTACCCCGTAAGCGACCCACATTCGACAAGCCAGCCACGTTACCGCAATTCTGGCCCATTCGGTATTTCTGTACGCGTATTTCGAGGGCATTGCAGTAATCGGGTGACCGGTTTAATTTCGGATTCAGAATCCGAGCATGTAAAGATCTAATGTGGAATGGCCAATCTTCAGACGAAGATTACGCTATTAGGACCTGGGACTATTCTTCATCGGGCAGTCTGCTGTAAGCGGTGCCTGCGATAAGCATTTAAAATCTATATCATCGGATTTTGTTGTTTTGGATGCTCGAGGCGATTGGTTAGAAAGTTAAAAAAAATGAATTCCATTTCAAATATCTTTATTCTATATAGAAGCTGGCCGTCTTTCCGTCCGATTACAACGTAGGCGTCTTTAAGGCAAGAGTGAATAGGTTTTTATTCAGCTAGCGGGCTAACCATCAATGGATGCATCGCCGCATACCATCATGCGTGAAAAAAATCTTTAAAGTTACTTAATAATTGTCGAAATTCTAATATAACTGATTCGGAAAAAAGACCTCTGACCTGAAAGGAGCCGGCGAAGGAAACTCAGCGGGACATTTAGGCCTAGCGCTTACTCATACAAAAGTACATCAATCACATCGGGATTTGTAAATTTTATAATTTTTTTTTCAACAGTAAGCTTTTGACACTAAACCAAAGCACGACAGTGGAGAGAGTATTTTTTACAACGTCATAATCTGAAAAAATGTCGTCTACTTTAAAAATTAAAGAATTATCATTCAGGAAACAATTTTATCTCATGATTATTAATAATTAGATAAGGCAGTAACATTTATGTAGATAAGGAAGAGAAAAGACCCAACAATAGATCCTTGCGAGACCCCATATTTATCAAGGCCCCGGAAGATCTTTTACCATTCGCGTCAGCTATCTTCATTCTATGCTTAAGTACGATGTCAAAAGATTGATCTCTTATAGCCTAGTGGTGGTCGATTACAGCTTTCTATATTAAAAATAATGAGTGAGGAAATTGAGGACTTTACTGTCATTTAACTTAGTCAAGGATTGATAGTCTTTCAGTAACAAGAGGGTTAGACTTTCGTGTGGTTTGTAAAATAAAGAATTGCCTATCATTCCCAATAATATGGTAGGGTTGAAGATATTTATTTTGGAATTACAAGAATGCAACTTGGAAAAAGTTTTATAAAATGTAAATAAATTAAAAAAATGCCGTGAAAAGTATCATATAGGCAAAGAATTAACTAATATATTGAAGATTTTTTTAATAGTTTTTCGTTCCTTTGAAAAAGAGACGAACAAAATATTATTTCTCATGTTATTGGTACGAAATAGCGATATAAGATCAAATGTAGTGAGCTGTTTTGAACGAGTATAGTCTTTGAAGTACATATTTATTTATTTATTGAGATTTACCAGCAGTTGTTACACCCATACATTTAATATTAACAGTACATTAATTATAACTAAGTGTACAACAATTTTTAGGTAAACACAACATGCATACATTTATAAGATGCCGTCACGACGACATTCCACGTAACCCGTCTATAATTTTGGAGAGAGCGTTAGCCCTGAGGGGCGCCTGTGATCCCATGGAAGCATGGAGCACTCCACAACGCGCGCGCACCCGCATTGGCCGGGCGCGTTATTTACAAGGGAATAGTGTAAATATTGATACTAAAATGTCATAACACCGTTTGCTGGTACGCGATCAGCTGTAAATATTAAGTGGATTGTGTTTTATTAACCGCCCACGCTAAGCGGCGATTTACGGAGTTCTCCTGACGAATGGGCGAAGCTAGCTGAGATATGCGAATTATCCGGTAGCTGTGCGACTATATAAGCCGGGTCACGTTCGAAGATAGGATATGCGATAGTTCTTCAATATTAGAGACGTTACTTTCTTCGCGTTAGTGACACGTGATTGAATGTTTACAAAACGGGATCTTTGTGAGGTGGATTCTGGAAAAGTGTAATGGAAGTTTCCGATGCGGATCGTGCTTGTGAAAGTATAGCCATGCTTACTGTGGAATTAACGTAGTGTGAACTCGTTAAACTAGATGTGAGTGATATGCTGCGGATTGTGGAAGCAGTTTAGTGGTTCTGCTCGCCATGTCAAGGCGGGAGACACGTGTCGAGCGCGTGGTGGATTATCCACCTCCACCGCCTAGTAAATGCGCCAAGGTAAGTGCGAGAAAATTGAGATATCTCAATAACCCCGTGTAATTAAATCACTTGAATTATTTAATTTAAATCGCTTACTTATCTGATGTTTTGGTCACATTTGGATATATAACATTATGATGTTCACACTATCCACTTACTTTCTCGTCTTAGTTAGCTTTTTTAAGTGCGATAATTTTTATTTAACTTGTTATAACCATTACACATTTAAACATTAATTGTCTCCCATGTTTTTGTCCTCAATTCATTCGTACAGATATTCAAGACCACTGCACGACTTACTTAATCAATGGTAGAGTGGTAGCTTCTACGGCGGTAGGGCCACGCAGCAGCCCGACCTCACAGAAGACCAGCGTAAAGTGGAAGTATGACAAATACTTTCGCGTTTCGTCTGGCGAGTGAGGTAGCCGGAGCCCGATTTTCAAAAGGTTGTCAACGCATCTGTAACCCTCGGGTGTAGCAGAACCGTCTGCTCTTTTGGCAACTTTTCACATAAAACCTATACTGAGCTTTATTCGTTATAAAGCTACAAAATCCTTATTATCAAGGTGAAAGTTTGTATGAATGGATGGATGCTTGTTACTCTTTCACGCAAATACTACTGAATGAATTATATAATATAGCATAAAAAATAATAATATAGCATATACAGCAAAATAACACATAGGCTATAATTTATATACATATCTTATGTATGTCTGTCTTTCTGTTTGAATGTTACGACTTCAGCCTATTCTACGCAGACGTAGTCGCGGGCAGTAGCTAGTTGAATACACAATTCTTTCAACAAATTTCAAAAACCCATATGACACCATGCGTAAAAATAAAGAAACGCAGAATATAGCAAAGAGATGTATTATAAAGAACTGAGTTTGCTCATGAATTATTTATGGTAGTTTTAACGAAGTAACTTATAAAGCCCTTGCCCCATAAACTATTTCTGTCATATTCTGTCATATAACTATTTCTGTGCGTTTCTCATGGTATTTTCTGCCACGCACAATCAAGGTGTGGAATCAGTTGTCACCAGTGGTATTTACGGATCAATATGACTAAGGGACCTTCAAGAAGAGAACTTATTTCTACCTTAAAGGCCGGCAACATATTTGTGACTCCTCTGGTATTGCGAGTGCCCATGGGCGGCAGTGAACACTTACCACCTGACTTCTCATTTGCCTCCTGTTCCAGAAAAAAATAGTCATGCCAACATGTTAGATTAGAAATATTTATTTATTTAAACGTCATTGTTACACCTTAGGCTAAGGTTTAAGGATGCCTAATGACATCCGCTATCACTCAACCCTTGTCATGGTGAAAAGTAGATGGCAGGTGATAAACCGAAGAGTAAATATAAGAAATAATGTAATAGAAATAAAGAATCGATTATGGATTAGAAATTAATAATTTAGCACTGCTTGACCTGTTATCCTATGACGAAATATATTTCATATTAACTCTACAGTTTTATGTAGGTGCTGTACTACACCTGGAAACTATGCTCGCTGGTCTTTTCCCACTTCGTGATGATCAGCCTTGTGGTGGCTTACTGCATCCTTGGCGCTGTCACATTCGAGAAATTGGAGGCACAGCATGAGAGAGAGGTAAGAATCTTTATATCTTCCTTCGTATAATACACAAAGGTTATTATGTTGTTCGTGATTACACATTTACTTTTAATTAGAGATGTGACGTATTGAAAAAATATCTATTTTTAAATAAACGATTTTCTAATAAGAACAAGATGTTTAAAAGAAATATTTTCTTAAACTTAAAAAATTATAATATTGTTAATGGAAACTCATAAACTTTTCGTTAATACGTATATAAAAGTTACGAGAACATGTAATGTGACCGTTTTATGCGACTAGTTTTCGAAGAGGGATAGACATAGGAAGCTTTTAGAAATTACATAAAAAAGATTGGCTGTTTTTTTCACAACCCTGCTGATAACTGGAATATAAAAATATTCTTATTCTTTAAAGTTTTTTGCCGATGTCATCACTTGCGTGTTTACTTTTAATTGGAAGTACTATAATCATTTCGTTTTCCAACAATTTGTGGAACTGGCGGTTCGCAGGCAAATATAAAATGCTGTAATGCATCATAATACAGCACAAAATAAATTATTGTTCGGTAATTGCTCTCGGCCAAAACGTGTTTATCGGGAACTCTATGATTTCTCTCTTTTTTAGTCTGTTCTTTGACTTCAAACTAACAAGGCCATCAGGCGCACTCTCGCATAAATAATCTATTTGCACCGAGTATCCGGAGTAGTAACACGTTGTCCAACAAAGAAACGTAATCATTACCCCCGAAATTACTGTTTATCCTATCTACCCCACAGGTGAAAATGAACATATCGCAGATTCGCGGCAACACAACACAGAGCATATGGCACATGACGCGTACAGTGCCACTGCTAAACCAGACCAATTGGACATCCGATGTCGTCGATATGCTCAAGGTGCGACTTTATTATCTGTATCCCTCTTCATCTTTCTTAAAATGCTGCTATTTTCGTTAGCACTCATTTTTTGATTGTCTTGCTTCCGGGTAGTATGCTTAAGTATGATAAGAAACTTGCACTGTGGACTGACAATTATACATGAAACTTGATACGTAACCATAAACAATGAAAGGAATCAGTATTCCAATCAATATTAAAAATACCTTAAAATGTTTGTCCTTCTGTATTTTAATTTCATGGAACAAAAGATGATTCGTCTATTTCTTTCAAAATTCGTCTATTTCTTTTTTTTTGTTCTTAACAAAATATTTTCGTAGGACTTTGAGAACGCGATCCTACTAGAGATGAAAGTGCGCGGTTGGGACGGGAATGAAAGTACTGAGCACATCCAGTGGACCTTCACCGGGGCTCTCTTCTACAGTATCATCGTCATCACCACCATCGGTGAGTGTTTCGTTATCGTCCAACTGAATATACCAACATAAGATAAGGCTATAATGTAATACAACCATGCCACATCTCTAAAAGCATTTGAAGAACACAGTTACATGTAATTATTTAGCGTCATTAGGGTTTGATTGACATGACAAAAAAACCGCCAAAAAAATCCTATTTCTTCATTGAAATTAGATTGGTTCAACGGCCAATAACAATAATTGAAGAATTTTACTTCAACTTTCGTAAGAAATTTAAAGTAGATTTTAAAAAAGTTGTGGAACAGATGGAGGGGCTAATTTAAATAATGTTATTAGAATTTACACTCTGGTTTTGTCGAGTTTCGTTCGTTGCTGAATAGAATTTGTTTCCATGATTATCTTTTGGTAGATCGACTTTTTATCTCACTTCGTGTGGACCATACCATACCGCATTTTTATTACTATATAAACTATTAGGCTGGTCGGTCCGTTGACAGACGGACACAAAAACAACCTTGTTTATGAATTTGATGTCGATGAAATGGTGTGACTATTAATAATATTAATAATAATTCACTTAAATTAGTACAATACTAACATTATAAATGCAGAGGTCGGAATGTGTCGAAAGAAGCTGCTATACGATTGGGCTATTCACACGATCTTAGGCTCTTCTAGAAGAGCCTGCTTTCATGAAACAGCAGTAGCTGTTGATAGCTTTATAAGTGTAGTAAATAGCACTTGCCTGGCTAAGGCTAGCAACTCCGCTTTCATCCTCCCCACCACGTCAGCTTTGAAGTCAATGAAGTCGATAACATTTTAACGATTGGAAATTTATTGACGCGCGGACTGCTTTAGGTCGGTCGTAAAGCCTCTGCTGATGTAACTACGCCCGATATACGCAACTCAGCCCGCGGTGTGGCACAACATTGACAGTTGTTGTTCTATCGGTTTATTTCGAACGCCGCCGGCGGGGAGGAGCTTAACATGGCAGACTTGGAGAGTATCCGTGGAATTTTCGTGGGAAATTTATGAATTGTACTATCGTTTTACGTGGTACAGTTATTTCGTCGTGTATTTGCTCGATGATTTCTTGTATTTATATTTGTTTGTTTGTGTTTACGAGAATAGTTCACGGGGTTAAACGAAAATATGTAACCGATTCTATCGCGTATTTTGGTTATAATATCTTGACGGAGCAGACTGGATGGACAAAATCTGTTATTTTTTTTTAAACATTGTTTCTACTATTTAATTTTACGATGATTTATTTAGAAATTTAAATTGTTTATAGTGCTAATCTTTGCACTTAAGATTGAACATTAAATATGTAGAAAAAGTGCGAAAAGATTGTCGCCGCTGTGGGAATCGAACCCACGTCTTCGGCATTCGCGGCCTGACGCTCTAGCTACTGAGCTAAACGGCTGATTACCACACCGACGAAAATCTTCGCACTTTTTCTACATATTTTAATGATTTATTTAAATTTAAATTCGGTTGTAAAGTCGAGATATTCTTGATGTTTGTCACGATTACATTTGGGAATGAAAGACTATTTTACCTTTTACTATTAAGGTTTCTTGTGAAGGGGGCTCAGATCTTATTTGCGATATTCTTTTGATCAGGTTTCCGTTCGTTGTGGACATATTGCTTGCTGTTTTTGCTGTACGCACAAACTGACAGTCTACTTAAATATAAAGAAATATTTTCTTTCACTTTTCGTACAAGCAGGTGTAATAAAGGTAAATATAAAAACGTAGATATAAAAACGGTCCAATTATATCTGAAATAAAGCGCGTTGTTGGCGGGAAAATAAAAAAATTGACGTACGTTGACAGCCGCTGGCGTGGCTCCAAGGCGTCACTTTATCGTTGTATCCATGAGCTTTGATACAGTTTCATCCTTGGCGCTTGTAATAAATTGGACAAAACAACGGAAAGAATAAATATAATGCTGCCGTGTAGCTCTTTTTAAAGATTACGATTTATTAGGAATCCGCTCCAGTTTGAAATGGATGTCTATTTCCTTCGATAAAAGTGACAGTTTTGCGAAAACACTGCTCAAAATTAAAATTTACGATCGGATCAACGTTTTATCTTTTTATCAATCAATTGTATTCATAAGATAAGACCAATAAGTTACCTCATTATCATTTTACATCAAGAATGAGATTCAGTAAGTTTTAGCTTGTATCTGGTATTAACTGATGTTAACACGTTCAGTCCCGAGACTATTAATACTTCATCGAACGCAGAACTGGTGGGCTAGCTAGAACCCATGGGTTTGAGGCCCTCCACGATGGGTGGGGCCGCGCATGTGCTCATGCGTGCGTTAGCTACGGAGTGTCGCCTACGGGCCGTCGACGTTCGGTTCGGACCTTGACCCCGATAGCCGTTGACTGTGCTAGTAAGTTTTAGTTTATAAGTACCTCAAATTAAAGAATTCTTGTAATATGTGAGTTGTAAAAGAACTCATTAGGCAATTGACTACATGCGGAACAATACAGTTTTTAATGTGCTGTCCGCGACACGATCTTGTTTTATTTTCAATTTCATAAACGTTTCAATGCAACATTACAATGCGCTTATCCGCATTATAACCAGATCTTCAGAGTTTTTATAATCAGTTCCAACTGGAGATTAATATATCATATATTGTTACAGGTTTCAATTGTATTTCCAACCGCGAAAAATCTTTAAAAGACCTAGATCCCTATTGCAGCACCACCTACCGGGTCCATACGTTTGAACGTTTAACATAGCGCCATCTTTTGGATACGTACTCAATCCAGGCGATAAATTAACTTTACACCGTTATAGAAGAAAGAAGAAAGAAAATACATTTATTTACCAAAAAAGGACGCACACAATAAAAGAGAAAGAAAAACTAAAATTAACAAAAAATAAAAGAAAATAAAAAAAAATACTTATTAAGATATAAACAAATGAAAAAGAACTTTAGCAAACCATAAATAGCGTATATTGTATGAAAGTAAAGTAAAGTAACAGCCTATACATGTCCCACTGCTGGGCAAGGGCCTCCTCGGGGGTATCAAAGGGTATCAGAGCATAGTCCACCACGCGGCCCCACTGCGGATTGGCGGATTTTTTTTTGTTATTATTTCAGAAAATATGCAGGTTTCCTCACGATGTTTTCCTTCACCGCGGAGCACGTGATAAGTCAGCACTTAAAGTTAAAAACTTCATTGGAGCCGGCACCGGGGATCGAACTCAGGTTGCTCGAGTATATTGAATTAAAGGAGAGCGCCCGGACACTGAGCTATCACGGCTCTTGTATATTGTATGCCCTACTTAAATGTTTTTATCCTGTCGTTTACAATTCGTTGTTATAGTGGCACCAGAAGAACATCATCTGTGAAAATTAAAAATTAAGAAACTGTTTAACTATCATGGTTCACTAGATAAAGACTGGTGACAGACAGACAGACAGCGAATTCTTAGTAATAGGGGTTTTGGGCAATTTCTATGAATTTAACAACTTTCCATTTTATATTTTCTTTAATGAAATTTTACTAAAATCATAACTAGGATCGACCTAAAAATTAAAAGAATTTCTTTATTTTTTAATGATCGAATCGTGAGTTAGGATCAGTTTCTTATTAAATATAAATTTCCCTGGAAACTTTTTTAACTCTTCATCGCGTGGCAAGGTTAATTTGAAAAACAATAAAATAATTCAAATAAATAAATTATTCGGTGTAATAAACTTTTTGTAATAAACTTTGTTTAATTAATTAGTAAAAGTATTTTAACTCGAAATAAACATGAACATTTAACAAAAATATTTCATCTTTTATTGTATTGTATAAACATGCGTAAAAGTGTCAAATTTCAATATGAATTTATGTAAAAAAAAAGGAAACCACATATGATTATAGTTTCGTGTTAGTAGACTATACAATATTATGTAAGTCATTTTTTTCGAATTGAATATTTTCCTAATGCTAAGTCCACTTACATAGTTAAATTGCTTATTTGAACAGGGAAAACAAAAATAATCAATAATTAATATTTTGTCTCAATTTTCGTTTCCATAAACAGTCCATATGATAAACGAACTAAGGTTTAAATAATTACTTATATTTCTAGTGGGTTTAAACATATATTAGAGCAATGGATAAAATAAATATATTTACATTAAAGCATAATAATTTGACTGCAGTAAACCCGGCAGTGACTTGGTAACAAAAACGTAGGCTTAACAACAGACCTCCCTCATTTGCCGTAATATCCGTACGGGCCAATCGTACCGGTAGGACCTCCAGGGCCTACCAACACCGGTCGTCTAGCTCCCTGCCTCGACGTAAGCCCGTAGCCAGGTCCAATTATACCGGTCGGGCCGCCAGGACCAACTAAGACTGGTCTGCGGGGGCCGATAATTCCTGTAGGACCTCCAGGGCCCACCAGAATCGGACGCTGGTTATAGCCCGGCCCGATGATTCCAGTCGGGCCTCCGGGGCCAACGAGGACCGGTCTTTGAGCGGTTTCGCTCGGTCTTGCCTCTTCCGGGTCTTTGTACGAACCGAGACCACCTTCGTAATTCGGGCCGATCGTGCCCGTGGGTCCCTCTGGGCCGACCAGTACGGGTTTGCCATTGTAGCTGTCACTCGGTCTTCGATTTGGTCTAACGACTCCCGCAGACCCTTCCGGACCAAGAGCTGAAGGTTTATTGGGCCCTATCAATCCAGTGGGCCCGCCTGGCCCTACCAGCACGGGTCTGCCGCTGTAGTTATCGGTCACGGCCCCATCGTATGGACTTCTGTTCGATCCGTAGTCAGGAAACGTGGTTTTGTCTGTGGGGCCAGTGATCCCCGTGGGTCCGTCGGGTCCGACTAATACCGGCGGGGTGTTTGCCTGCGGGACGGGGCCGAAGAACCCTTTGGGTCCTTGCGGGCCGACGAGAATGCTCGACAGTTGGGCGCGTTCAGGCACGAGGCCGGAAACTATCGCCGCCTCGTGCGCGTGACCCGGCCCGTACTGTCCGCTCAGAACTGAGTCCGGGGGCGGTGGGAAGGGCCCCCCGCTAGGCCCTCGTCCGGGCAGCAGCATCGGACGCTCGTCCGTCAGGTCGCTGAAATATTCTGCTGGTCGAAAGTCATGAGACATATAAATTATTCGCTCTCCTTCTAAAGTAATTTACTTCATTAAGGAAACAATGTTAAAACTATGGACAATGTTAGGTACATTGTCTACAGTTTGTTAGTTTTGTTTATTTTGTGTATTGTCTGAAATAAAGATTGTTATTATTGTGAAATGTCAATTAATAACAATCTTAACGGTCACATCATTAAAGTCATCACAATTAATATGTCTTATTGCAAATATCATTTGCAACAACAGCATTTATAAGATGGGGACATGTTGAGTGGACTCTATTTGTCTCGTTTTCTTTTTATAGCCACCAATGTAATGGCTACTTGTCTCTTTTTCTTTTTATAGTGACAAAAGTAATGGCGAATCAAACATTAGTCATGGAGCTTATTAGTTCTAGATTAAACTTACCAGATGGTTGCTGCACGCGGTCAGGTTTACAGCACAGGTGCATATTCGGACCACAGGCGCGCTGAAAGTAATATATTGGAAATTCTAAAAAAAAATATTTGATATATAACGTGTTAATAACACGATACTGTTATTTTAAGGGTATTAAAAAGAGTATTGGGATAACTTATTAATTTGTATCAATGAGCTGTTTTTGCTTAATGATATACCACAGCCAAATTGAAGTATTAACAACATAAAGTGGACGTATTTTGACTTTCTTCTTTCATAAACTCAGTCAGCTAAACCAAGGCTACCTACCCCTTTTAAAGATTAGCAATACACCAATGAGAGGTATTAGCACTAGGCGAGCTTTGAATACATTCAAAAAATCTTATGTTCCCAAAATTCATTGTGATTTTAATTACACTAGTCTGGCTAATGGTAATAAAATTGCGTTCTAACACAAATTCAAATCAAATAAAATAATTTATTCATCAAAGTAAGAAATATACATTTCATATGTCAATAGTCATTTTTAAAATCTACTGCCGTTTCGTACTGAGGTCCCTCTAACGGAGAAGAAAGAGGCGAAAGAAACTCCGAAGGTATCCTTTTTTTTGTAAATTTTTCATCATAATATTATATTGTACAGTACATAATTTTTTTTAAAGCTGAATCTTTTAGAAGCTGCAAAATTAAGCTATCTTTTTAAATATTTACAAGATTAAATCTATCTAAAATTACATATTATCTAATAAACCTTATCCACGCGGCATGGTGCCAAGAACGCTAGCTGCATTTCCTCGCTGAATAGTTAGGCTTCACCTTTGAGGAAGAAAAGAACCAGCTCTCTTGTCACCAGCCGCGGCGTTAAGCCTAGGACATAAGCCTTTAAAAAATTTTGATGTGCAACCCCACGAACGTAAAGTTTCAGCAGAAAATGGCACAAATACATAATCTAAACATAAAGACTCATATTTGCGCCATTTACTTACTTCAGCTGCCTCCGATGCCGCCCCGGCCCTGACCGAAGTACCCCTTAGATGAGAGGCAGCCAAAGTGTCTACACAAGTGGCGTCCCAAACAAGGGCTTTACCTCTCTCCCAAGGGATCAATGTTAAACCGTCGGGTCTCTTACAGCTTAGGAGCGATCATCTCATTCTCAGGGGTTCTTATCATTAATGTTGATTCAAGTCAATTGATGTAAGTGGTTTTGGGTAAATGTAATCAAGATAGGTCTATACCCGATACCAGATGACTTGCTTACCGAGCCTCCGACGCGTTTTCTACAGTCATTTTGCAAAGTTGGACTACAAGTGCAAACTTGCAGGGAATCAAGCGTGCCGTCCGATTCGTATCTGGAATGAAATACCTTCGTACATGGTCATAATATAGGTTATAAATACATTAAACGTGCCTAAATTTTGTAGACTTAATGTTTGTACTTGTCAGTCTAAGTTTGGGCTTGTATTATATAATTGTCAATACGAGCAATCGTTTTGACAACTTTAAGCACTCAAGCCTAGCCAAGCTCTTTTCGAATTCAATAATTTTAAATACCTTTAAACTTCTGATACTTTTATCACTAAGTAATCTAGTCTGATATCTTACTGGTGTTTAAAGTGCTAGTTCTATTTCACTCACACTGGTTTCTCCTGCGGGATCGAGGCCGGGTAATTGTAATTATTAGGTACGTGGTTCTTGGACAAGTATCTGTCCAGTTCGTTGGGCCTCACATTTCCCGTGAAACGACCAGCGTCTGAAGGCTGGTCGTAGAAGCCTTGTCGCTCTGACGGCCGCCCGAAATACTGGCCGTCTGACTGGTCATTCTTTTTCAAGGCCTTCCTGAAATTGTGCAGAAATATTCAAGAATTGTTTAATTTCGCTTGGATCATGGAATACTAGCTATTAACCGCGGCTTCGCCAGCGCGACCAAAGGGAATCTCGCAGATGGCTGAATTTTTCCTACTTAGTTGACACTTATTTTCACAATTTCACACTTTATAAATTATAGCCTATGAGTTATTCTGATTTATATGCTATATTATTGTAGTTTCAATTAAATCTATTCAGAAGTTTTTGCGAGAAAAGTAACAAATATCCATCCATCCATACAAACTTTCGCGTTTATAATATTAGTAAGGAAGTAAGGATTCGTGACCGTCGTTATCACTACATAGTATAAAACAAAGTTGTCCCGCTGTCTATCTCTCCCTATGTATGCTTAGATCCTTAAAACTAACAAAGGATCTTGCGTTTTTTTATTAAATAGAGTGATTCAAGAGGAAGGTTTGTATGTATATGACATTGCACCCGTGCAAAGTCTGGGCGGGTCTCTAGTAGATCATATTATCTTAATCGCTACAGCTCCGTAATATTGTTGTTTTCTCTGCACAAACATTACCATTAGTAGCAAACATTTATTATTATTCACATATTCATATATACATTATTTCAATAATTTCTAGATGTGGTGACGTTATCAAAATTAAATCAGCAATCATATATAAATAATAAATGCAGACTTCATATATCTTCAAAATTTTATTTTGAAGTCCCCTGGCCGCTGATAATTTTATACTTAAATACTTTTGTGTACTTATGTATTTATAAAAAAAAGATAACTAGACCGCAGATACTCTTTTTTATGTATAAGTTGCCAAACGAGCAGACGTTTCACCTAATGTTACTATCTGTTGAATACCGCCGCCCATGGGTATGCAGATGCGTTGACAACCTTTTTCGAAATTGGGCTCTGATGATATTAACCGCTGATCACGTGATAAGTGTTTCGTCCGGCTTGTGAGGTAACCAAAGCCCTCTTTATTCAAAGGTTGCAACCTGCAACCCTACGGGTGTTGCAAATTTCCATGGGCGGCTTATTACACTTAACATCAGGGAAACCATCTTCTCACATAAGTAAGAGCGGATCCCCTCCTTCTTTAAAGTGGTTGAAAAGACTTCAACAATTAACTATCAATAAGTAACAGTTGTATAAGACATTTTATCTAATCATATACCAATCATCGAGAATTTTCGCAATAGCCATTTAAAAGCTTGGCAACTCAGGCGTGTCGTAGCCATATTTGCTGCAGGTCAAGTGTAATGTCGACTGGTTGTAGATAAGTAAAATGTACGCGCCACTTAAAACTTTAAAACTGATTGTAAAAGGGTTCGTTCCTTTAGTCAAAGACCATGACATGCTAGTTTTGAAATCGCTAGTTCACGCTGAACGTTGGAAACTGGGGAATCCCCAGTAAACGAGGCCGCAGTTTCGCATTGCCAAATGCGGTTGGCACCTGATTTTCCTTGGCCGTTTCTTTCGCGGCGTTTGATTAATCGACAACTCAAGGCTCCGCGGCGCCATTTGCAAAGAATTACGTCTTTTTTAAGGTTTTGCGACAAATCATAGCAATTTTCTGGATTAGCAATAAATAATCATAGTTTCAATGAATTATAGAGTTTCAATTTCTAATGAAACATGGCTTAAGCTGTTCGATGATACTAAAACACTTGATTCTTTTTAATTCAAAGGCTATTGACCAGTGTTAACAGCCGTTTAGCATGAAGGTTTATTGTCGCTGTGTTAACTTATTTTGAAAATACAGATCTCATAATGCTTTTTGGTTAGTGAATCAGATCACGTCATCTTAGAAGATGACGAAAGCGCAAACGCATAAATAAAGGCTGAGATGATCTGCGCTATTGTATTAGTTAGAACAATACTGTTAATACTTAATGCAATATTCGCTTGGATCTCGGCCAAGGCGCCGAAAGCAACACTTTAAACGCCCTCTAGCGTGCGAAATAATTACAACAGACGTGAATACAGACGCAGAGGAGAGGTCAGAGGCAATCGAAAACGCTGAAGGCGAGTTTCTAAAGCTAGCCCTTTATGAGATCGCACACAGGATGCCTCGTGTCGTGGTTTGATATATCCCTTCCGTTCTTTGTTTCGTTGTATGCGAGACGAACAATTTGCGGGTGGATTTCAGAAGTAATTGCATCGCGTCATACTAACAATACTGATAGCAAATGCGAGCGATAAAACAGTTGAACCATTTTCATACCTTCTGCACTCATTTCATATATGTAATGTGATAGACGATTAGAATGAAAAGCTTAGTTTTCACAGAAAAACCTTGTTGGGATAAGTCACGAGAAAGTATATACAGCAGATCAGATCTGACTCCTTATTTGCAGGCTGCATTAATTATATGTAGGTTCAATTATGTAACTTTTTTCTTTACCCTGCTCTTATCCCACCTGGGTGAGGAAGAAGGTGAGCCGTGTTGTCTATGGTATTTGCTGAATATTTCACGCCTAGCTGCCTGAATGACGTCAACCCTTATTATTATGATATGTATATACATATTTATACCTTTTTTTTTTTATGGAGAAAAGAGGCAAACGAGCAGGAGGCTTACCTGATGGTAAGTGATTACCGCCGCCCATGAACACCTGCAACACCCGATGGCTCACAAATGCGTTGCCGGCCTTTTAAGGAAGTGGGCATCCGGCAACCTCACTCACCAGACGAAAAGCAGAAGCATAAACTTTACGCCGGTCTTCTGTGAGGCCGTGGTACCACCCCGGACGGGCCTGCCCATTCGTGCAACAGAGGGTTCTGCTGCGAGGCCCTACCACGTTGAACCTTTTTTATTTGTATGTATATGAATTCTGTGCTTAAATATGTTTCTTTTATTGTATGGATATATTGCATGGTATAGGTAGAATACATATTTTTTAATATGACTTGAATAGTATTTTATGTCAGCTACATATATATCAATGCATTACCTAAACTTCTCTGGGCCACACCAATGTTGACTGGCAGTTAATTTTGATAGCATTAAGGCCCTTATTACATGTTTTTTATGCATAAATAATAAATGAATAACCGTTATTGTAATTTGAATTATTTGTAATTAATTTAATTAGGTCTCATATATAGATTTCCAAGTGGGAATCCGCGTGGGAACTCACGACGCCCGTGCCCAACCCAGTAGCTTAGCAACTGCACCACTGCGTCATTGAAACTAAAATATCCAGCAACAGTATTAATTTCTGAACTGATTTGATCCCATCACAAGTTAATTTACCTTTTCGGTGGTTCATTCTGGTTGCCCGTGAATGGGGAGACGTTGAACGTCACTTTGTCGTCAACTCGAACGGAGGCCGCTGTGTCCGGGAATCTCCATTTCTCCGCTGAGCACACGGCGGCAAGCATGAGCCAGTACCAAGCACCGCCTGCAATTATTAAAGCAATGAGATTCGAGTCAAAGTTTAATTCAAAATAAATTTGAATTAAAGCTGGTGGCGAGTCTTAACGAAAATCCGAAACAATCTGAACACTTAAAAAAGTTTTATACTCATTTAATCATCTTGCTTAAAACTATACAGTTGGCTGACAACGGTTGCTCGAGGTGCAATGTTTTGCCTTCAGCCAAAAAATAAAGAAATATCATTTATTATTATGTTTTCGTAAATCTTTTATGATTTGATCGATGTACCATGATATTGAGTGTCTCAACCAAACTGTTTTCTGAGTGATATCTCAGAATCGCTTTAGTTAATTTATAAGTATAATAAGTCTCCAGCCTCTGGTCTGCTAAAATATAGCGGTAACATAAGCAGAAAAGTTTTAAAAGATAAATTTGTAAGGTCAATGCTTCGACCTTTATAAATTAATTTGAACTTGCCGCCAGCCTTCTATATAAAGGAATAATGTTCGACAAAATCCCTTTTTCTTATGCAGATTTACCGATTAACGTAATAGTACGCTAACGCGAACCTTGCAAATGGACATTTACGCATCTTGTGGGCGTAATATCAAATCATATACTACTTTCCAAGGCCTGACCCAGTAATACGTGCTTTATAATACTGGATGACAATGAAAGATTCGTAAGCAACATTTATAGATTATACTTCTAGGCCTTTTACTCCTTTGCGTATGAGTAATGCTGGAAATTACATCTAAAATTCAAAGTTTTTGGCTAACTTGAATGTGTGATAGAGAACTCATCAAAATTAACTAGTGTTCTAGCAGGGTCCGTGTTCTATAAAAAAAGATGGCGGGAAAACATAATATTATAGTCCTGTATTGTTTTAGTCAGACATGTAACTCTGTAGTTAGTAATTCACACGGCATCTGAATAATTGCAGATTTTGGTGACTGTAACTCTATGATTAATATTATAACAATAGATATTAAGTAGTTCATAGTTACCGTTCTTCTTCTCCATGTCGATATCCAACGTAGCAGCAAGTTCAATATTTGTCGCATGTAAATGATTTAATAAAGTTTATAAAAATAACCAAGTCTTATAATAAAACGGTGACATTCATCATTATTTTGTTACGTTATACGATTGATCCGAATTCAGAATTACGAAATCTAACGCAATGAATCAATAGACAAATTTCGTTGGACCGGTGTTACGGTGGCGAACAAAAACTGTGTGTGTCGCAAATTTAGACTGTGAATGTTTGCTCGTGAACAGGAACCTAGATATTTAGTTGCTTTTGTAATTGCTTTAATATTTTATTTTTGCAAATACCAACTTGAACACTGAAAAATAAAAGTTTAATTTTTCGTTACCTCTCTCCCTGTGGAGGTTCTGCAAGCATCTAATCACGTTCTGCAAACATCTAATCACGAAAACAAAATATACCCATGTTCCGAACTCCTAATAATGGGTATTAAATTTTTTCCCCATGTGATATCGAAACCACAACACGACGCGTCAAATATGAATCGATATCTAATAACGGCCATTAAAAAAAATATCCTGAATATTATATAAGAAACAACAAGAGTAAAGTCATGATATGTCATAACATAGAGTAAGTTTATTTGTGCATAGTGACGTCCTTAGCATTGTCCACGTTAAAAACTCAGTACAGTAAATTCCAGGTATGCGTCTATCTGATTACCACACCACATCTCCAACTGACGGAGTAAACGGAAGGAAATTCCTAAACGCGGCTTGCGGGAGCCGTAGTTGGTGGGATACCGTCACGTAAAGAAATAGCGTAATTGACCCATGCATACGACTCTCAGGGACTCGCTCTTTCTATTTCTTTCTAACAGTCCAGTGAACAATCAGGGACGGGTATAACTTAAATGGTGTCTATTAAATGCCTTAGTTCATTTTTTCGTTCACTGGCTCTAAGAGTTGTTAACGTACTTCATTCTGATTGTTATTCAGTACAAAGTATGCAGCGGAAGGAACTTTGTTAACCTTTGTGAAGATGCACAACCGACAGGTGACTAATGCGTTGACCGATAAAAACGCGTTTCGTGGCGAGCAGCACGCTGTGTTTCGCAACTTTGCGACCCTGAACTCTGCCCAGTCATGTAACCTTGTGATGTCTGGAGATGATACTTATTTTGATTGTATGCAGTTTCATATGAGTATTCCATCCATTAAATGTTAAAGTAGTATATTGTAACGAAGAAATTGAATTAAAAGTCAAAGGAAAGTCATACCATTTCTTACAATTATTACCCTTAATTCAAGAATATTAAAATTCTATAAATTTGCGCATTATGCGCCTCAATATACTTGATAAAATTAAGCAGAGAGATTAAGAGAAGAAGAATTATTATATCGAAACGAAGGAATTAAATTAAAAGTCAAAGGAATATTATAAGACATAGCCTTAATTCAAGAATATAAAAATTTTATAAACTTGCTCATTTTAGACATCAATACTCGCATACTTGTGAAGATTTCAAAATTTCACAAGTGATGATAAAAAAAATCGCGACGATTAATGGCCAAGTTATGGCAAGTACTTAAGGATTGACCAAGTATTTATACCATTCTTTTATAACCCCGCATTGAAAGAAGAGATTTCCCTAGCAGACGTGTTTAAATTTGGGACGGTCTATAGGTTTTGTACCATATTGCGGATGGGAAGCGATCCTAAAAACTGCTGCAAAAGCCACTGCGGTTATCGTAGACAAAATTTGGCTTTGAATATTGACTTCAGACAGTTTGTAAGCTATGCGGTATAGATTACTAAACAATGGGCCTTGTAATAGAAACATCGGGGTGTTTACAAGCCGGTCTAAGTCACAACATAAACAAATGCAACGCCTAAGACGATTATGCCCGTCTTCTTATGAAACGTCGGCGCGCAAACTTAATATTGATTTTAGGGAAAATTTATTTACTTTTTATTTTTGATTAGCATCTGCCATCTGCTTTTCACCTTGCCAAGGGTTGACTGAAAGAGAAAGCCATTAGCCATTAAGTCCATCCTTACACATGTTAGCTAGCTACAGACTGGTATTATTTCCCTTTTTGAATATTATCTTCATGTTCTGATGTTAAGCGTTTACCGCTTCGAGATCTACAGTACCCGTGTGGTTCCTACGTGGTGCTAACCTATAAAAGTATGAGCCTGTTACCTCAATCAACAGACAGACGCCCGAGTATATACATATAGACGCCTGTTACTTCAAGCCGGTCTCCTATTAGGTCCTGGTACATCTCGAGATGACACTATTGGTACGAGGCCCTGCTGCAGTGCCAAAGTTGGATATATGTAATCCAGTTCGGTTTGCAGACGCCTCTGAACAAGTAAATCCGGAAGAACTATTTGTTGGTGGTTCCATTTTTCTCCTAAGAGGGATTGAACCAGTAAACGTTGTATCGCCTGTAGCAGCAAGTGTATGTAGTGGAATTTTTTTACAACTTTCTCTAGCTTCAAATTAAGCAACGCTTGTATTTTGAGTAACTAACTGATAGACATACTTAAGGATACTTTTTCCTTTAATCTTTGATACAGCTGAACCTACTGTAGTGCAAACACAATTTCTGATCTCCAGAGTACTTTGCACATAGTGAATGTGGCATTTGCGTTGTTCAGCATGGAAGTAGAAGTATGTAGAAGATGGAGAATTCTAACAAGTCCTTTCTTATCCTCACTGTTAGGGTACAGAGATAAACAGCACTGGATTTGTTTCGCCGTGGTTATAAGATAATTGTGACGGAAGTGATGTGATTACGGTAGTTTGATAGACGACGGTTCAAAAATAAAATCGAACAGTAGCCTGTTAAGGCTACTGTTATAGTTTTATAACAGTAGCCCTATCACAGTAATAACATAAGTTATCTATCACAGTCATTTTAGCAGTGAACATTTGTATTTGCATCATCACCATCGGTTTGTGACCGCTACAAAATCTGCTTATATCTATCGAACTTGGTACTCCGTACACTACACTCCAGTTACATATGATCAGCTGACGCACACCCATCGAGAGTAATAGTTATGTAACAAAAGCGTAAACAATATCTCAAGTGGAAATTGAAACTTAGTTTGTAAATCAGGAAACGGGTATGTTAACCGGATACCATCTCTTAGCTGCAGCAAGGAACCACAGAGTAAATGATCTTTGGATTATAAAAATTAACTTCCTTGCCTAATTTTTGTTTTAACCGTCTTATACGTCAACATTTTCGCTTTTCTGTCAAGTGGGAATAATTGACCGACAAGTATCAATTTTTATCTCTTAAAGCTTACTTTTTCTTAAGTAAAATTTTACAGTTAATTACTTAAAGATTTTTATAGGTTACATATTTTCCAAGCCGTTAAATAAATATAGACGTTATTCATTAGAAAAATATATAATTCTCGATGTTGCTTTTAATCATTGGTGAGTTGCTAAGCAGTAGGCGTTGTGACCGTGGATTCTGGGCTAGTTTCCCCTCGGAGTCCTTTTTTATTATAGTCTCTGTGTGTCTTTACTAACGGTGGAGCTTATACAGGATAAAATATGTCAAATATATACACCATATAATACTTGTAAATTACTTTTCTATACACTCATAATAGCCTACTACCTTTATGCCCATGACCAATAAAAGTAAACATATTCAGACCAAGTAATAATATTTTGCAGTAGCAGTATTAATAACCACTAACTTTTGAATAGAACGAAGGAAATGTTTAAATATTGAGGCTAAGAATATTTTGTAATAGTCGCAATGTTTTAATCGTGAAATTAATAATAACGAAAGCACGCTTTTAACGTATTTTTTTACGTTTAACAAGAGCGTTGCGTTGCATCATTGCGTCTTGAGGGTCCCTTGCGACATACATTCGCCCACATTTTGTCATAATTTGTAATGAAAAGGGATACTATTCTATATGTTAATGGAAACTGAATATTTGGCCTTCTTATAAACTCAGCCATTACTGTAATGGAGCTTTGGATAATTGTTTCATATATGACAGTTAATTAATTCAAGAAACATTGTCTTTGCAAGAACCTAGCAAACAATAGATTAATTTTAATAATAGATTCATTGATAATAACACACAAAAAACAACAATGTCTAAAGGAAGGCAATCATACGGTGGTAGGGCCACGCAACAGCCTCGGCTGTTGCACGAATGGGTAGGCTCGTCCGTGTAAGTACCACGACCTCACAGAAGACCGTTTCGCGTTTCGCCTGGTGAGTGAGGTGGCCGGAGCCCAAGTTTCAAAAGGTTGTCAACGCACCTGGAACCCTCGGGTGTAGCAGATGTCCATGGGCGGCGGTATTCACTTAACATCAGGTGAACCGTCTGCTTGCTTGGCAACTTTTCACATAAAAAAAAAAGAAAAATTCGGTAAAATTAAAGTACCAACCGTGCTTCTAGTTAACCATAAACCCTGTATTGGAAAATAATTAACGAATGTTTCTAACTAATTCATTCAAATTTAATTTATAAAAAAAAAAAACGTAATAGCGACACACGAAAACCAAAAATACAACATATTAAAGTCAAATCAATTCTTTTTAATTAAAACAACTCAGCCAAAGAGTCACGGCAACGGGAAGACGTCAAAAAAAAAAAAAAACAGAACAGAAATCTGAGCGATATACAAACCGAGCATGTTATATCTCGCTACTCCACTTCGATAACTTCAGCACAGTATTCAGCAGCGCCGTTTTCAGTCCGAACGCGGCGCCCTCACATATGAAACTGTTGCACGGGTGGCGACCACACTGCTACTACGGCAACGGATAGTGTGCGCACTGGCAGACAAGGTCCGTTACGAATGGCTCGATTGACTGGTCTTTCTGCATTTGCTAACCGCCTAGCGCTGACCACCCCCACCCGGTTAATAGCGTTATAGTCGAAGCACTGAATAAATTCAGTGTAGCCTCGGTATATAGTCATACATACAGGATACAATTTACTACTCATCAAGTATCTCATAGTTGCTTTTTGTTGGTACGTCATAACTTTCTGAATTCCTCATCAAATTTGATGATTAAAACACTTTTTCAATGCTTTCCTTTGCCGCTATTGCAACCTTAAAAGAGTAAAATAAAGTTAACGTTGTCATCAAAAATCCTTTCTTATGAATATGATATCATAATGTCAATCTGGATAAATGAAAGATATATATATATATATATATATATATATATATATATATATATATATATATATATATATATATATATAGAGAGAGAGAGAGAGAGAGAAACCAGAATAGTTTGAATATCATATTTCATTAAGAAATACTTATTTACATCATCATCATCATCATCATTTCAGCCTGTTTGAGTCCACTGCTGAACATAGGCCTCCCCCATAGACTGCCTTGAAGCACGATCCTGAGCCACCTGCATCCATCGACTTCCCGCACATTTGCACAGGTCGTCACTCCATCTAGTGGGGGGTCGTCCTACACTGCGATGGCCAATACGAGGCTGCCACTCGAGAACCTTTCTTCCCCAACGGTTATCGGTTCTACGAGCTATATGGCCGGCTATTACTATTATTTACATATTATTATTTAAACATTCGGTGACTGATACAGTACTGCTATTGTGCGAAAACTACAGTGGGTCAATTAGTAATTCAAATTTTTAAAACTGCGATTATTAAAGCCTCTTTATTTAATCGCAATTCGAGCATATGGTAACTAATGATATTAATATTTTTAATGTCACACGTATATCGATGATAATAAGTAATATGACGTTTCATATGTTTGTACATTTAGGACTAAACTACATGGTGGATTTACTTTGTGTTGTTGATAGGACTTGGAAACGAGCATTTTTGTCGAGTGAAGATATTTTCACTTTAACTTCCACTCTGACTGCGATAATTTCTTTTTTATACCTTTCCCAAACTGTACCAATACATTATCTTGTCACTGGCGCTACTCTCAAAGGAATCGCTTGCAGTTGGGAATCAAATCAGCACCTCCCGACAGTAAGGCTTGTTGGAAGTTCCAACAAGGCCAAATTTTCCCTGGGGAATGCCAGTTCGATAAACAACAATAGGGTCTCCTCGACCCACTTTTTTGGGGAATATCAGAAGGCCGCGGCTCAAATCCCCTAATTACCTTATAAATTCGGTCGCGATCGGTATCGTTGCAAGATACCGACCTCGGCGGTATCCGTTACGAATAATGGCGCCGGAACGGATGTCATAGACAGTGTTGCCAGTAAAAGAATAATTATGCAAGTAGACATTTCAATTGTGATTTTTTAACGACTTCAAAAACGGAGGAGGCTCTCAATTCGACTGTATTTTTTTTTTTTATGTTTCTCACCTAAGAACTTTCGACCAAGTGTATCGATTTTGATGATTGTTTTTTGTGAAAGCTGGTGCTTCCCTTGTGTTTCCATATTAATTGGTGTTAGATCTTCGGCTCCGGAGATGCGTAGGGAACTCCTGAAAATCAATTCTAAAATGAATGCAGATCGAGATATTTTAAGTCGTTTTTGTTTTTCGTTAATAAAAAAACTTACTTGTCATCACAACTAACGGAACTTTAGTGTGTAGCGAGGTTTTGTTACTCTAGTACTCTGATAGGTTTGGCGAGCATTACTCGATATCAGATTTCCTTATGTTCACAAGATTGTCAGTTGTTAGCTCCGTCAATTGAATGTCGAAGAAATGTAAGCTTGTCCGTTATAATTTTTTTATGCTAGGATTTTTTAATTTTATTATTTTTTTAGTATTTGTAAAGTGGGCTCCGGTTACCTCACTCGCCGGTCTGTGATGCCATGACACTTGACCGATGGAACCACTCGTTTGCAAAAAGCTGCACCTGTTGTCGCTGTATCTTCTACAGTAAATTCTGTTCTAACTTTATTATTCTGGGTTGTTGCTTTTTGGCAAAAATACTACGGTTGGAGCAAACTTACCTATGTTGTAGGCGCGTTTAAACGAAATGAATAATCTATTAAAAGACGAAAAATTTCATAACGATTTTTTACAGAACATTATCTAGCCCCAAGCTCAGCTAAGCTTGTATTATGGCTCTAGTAACTGAAAAACTTACTTCACGGGACATATGAATGTTCCAACATCTTGACTCGTTCAGAGTAAATTTGCTGTAGAGAAGTTTAACACACCCTAATGGAGGCATTACCTCCCCCTCCCGAGAGTAGCTCAGACGCAGTGCAAAGGGGTACAGTTGCTCCAAATGAATGAATCCCCCTCGAAATACACTTTCGGGATTAGCGAGTACATATCTATCATAACTAGGTCTTTCTTCCCAGATTCTTTCAAGATTTTTGAAGGTTTCCTCCAGATACCAAAAAAAGTCGTCAAGTTTAGACGAAATAAGCTATTTTCACAACTTGATGGAAAGAAATTAATGTCACATACCGTCCATTAATCCGGACAATTCATTACTATTTAGGGTTAGTGTTGAATGTTTTGTATTAGATAAGACTCCGCATTACTTCATTATGGTATGATCTTTAACATAGGCCTAACCAATTTTTGCTTATATACTTGCTACTACTGAACTATATGGACATCAGGAGAACAGTATAACCCAGTATAATCCTATGCTGTCTCGCTTTTAAATGCTCCATTTCCCACGTAGTTACTTGGTCGAACATAGATATCTTATCAAAGCAAATTAATCAGATCTTTCGAAAGAGTCTGAATAGATTGTATTAAACAAAAGATATGGTGAAATTAATGTTGCGGAATTGACAACGCAAGTGGTTGTGTCGTGATTTCGAGTTGCCGAGGTCGCCATTGTGGTATGGTAACCGGTTACTAGCTTGGTTTTGGAACTGTGGTCACAGCTGGCCGAGTAAAAAAAATATTAATCGGAAGGGCCTGAGAAACTTTTGAAGGAAGACAATTTTTAATAATAATCTATTTCTAGCTGGTTTAGAACGGTCCAAATTGGTTCGATATATGGCACCGGCTGGTCCAGCAATCGTTTTTACACCCAATAGATGGCGCTGTTTCCTAAAATAGTTGAATCAATGTCCCTCGAAAATATTCCGCACGAATGACCGTAACCTGTATAATGTATAAATGTATCATCAAACATAATATATGAGGATTTATTTTTGAATGCACATAAATATTAATTATGATAACAATGCGCTAACACTGTGCCCAATTGTGAAAATGGCAAACATAAAATATAAAAGTAAGTATGTGTGATTATCATTAACTATCATTCATATAAAAGAATAAACAAATATTTAAATATGAATAATAATAATAAATATAAATAAAAATAAATAATAATAAATATAAAACAAGGAGATAATTATTATTACTAAATAAACGAACAAAAAGAGTACTGCATCGGCCGGGAATCGAACCCGGGCCGCCCGCGTGGCAGGCGAGCATTCTACCACTGAACCACCGATGCTTCTCTAATATTGGTTAAATATACATTATGTTTTTAAGCATTGACGTCACAGCTGTACCGTAAAGGCGAAAGTGGTTTAACTACTCGTCACTGACAGTGAGTGGGTCAGTTACGTGACCTACTGTGCGGTTCTCCGCGTGTGACGTAAGAGCTCTTTGTTAAATGGTCTCGTTGGGTAGTTACGTTGATTTTTTAAATTAATTAAACCCACTAACGATTACGTCCAATACTACTTTTAGTTTGTTGCAATTGAAAACATTAGAAGCGTCTATTTAATCCGATTTAAAAAAGGAAGCGGTTCTCTTTCAGTTATAGTATGTGGAGGACCGGTTTGCTTTTTTTTTTTTGGTAAATCGTGTATTTTGGAAATTACATTTAGATACAAATTACTGAGTAATAAAATATGCATAATATTTTTCCATCATACCGACCTAATAATAAGAAAATATGAAGTGGTGTTTTTCACAAAAGAAACAACTTTAGAAAAAAGGGAAAAAATAGGAAAATCATCTGGATCGACAAAAATAAAGTAAGCAATGATATGGAATAAAAAAAAAGTAAAAAAAAAAAAGTGTATAAATGATCGTGACACGTACCACGGCCGTCTGTTTCGGGGCCGCCCTATTACCGACGGAGCTATTATAACATTTTTTTTTCGGTGAAATTTACCGTCACATTCGAGTGATATTTTTCATTCCCTGAAAACTGGGATAAAACGACATTTTCTAAAAATAAAACCTAGCCAGATCGATTTTTCGCCCCCAAATCTACGCACATACTTAATTTCATGAAAATCGCTGGAGCCGTTTCCGAGATTCCGATTATATATATATATACAAGAATTGCTCGTTTAAAGGATAAGGTTATTTTTATTTTGTTAAAATGATGTCTATCTATAATTAATTTCTAATTTATCGGCTTAAGGCTTGTTTTATTCTCTTATATAACGTCAAAAAAACTAACACCGGTCCACTAAATTAGGCCTGTCCAGAGAAGAACCGGCAAGAAATGTTATTTTTTTTAATTTTTATATAAAACTAGCGACCCGCCCAGGCTTTGCACGGGTGCAATGTATTATACATATAAAATTTCCTCTTGAGTCACTCTGTCTAGTAAAAAAACTGCACCAAGATCCGCGTAGTTTTAAAGATCTAACCATACATAGGGACAGAAGACGGCGGGACGACTTTGTTTTATACTATGTAGTGATTAGTTAGTTTAGTATAAAATCAGCAGCACGGGACTTGCAAGTGCAGAGTAAGAGTCATTTCCACATATCTTTGTCCTCAAAATATTCTTCAAATCTCTTTTCAGGCTATGGACACATCGCGCCCAAAACGCAGACGGGCAAGGTGGTCACCATCTTCTACGCCATCCTTGGTATACCGCTCATGCTTCTCTGCTTGTCCAACATTGGCGATGTCATGGCGTCATCTTTCAGGTAATCAGCGCGAGATGACTGAATGAATGATTATTTATTTGGTTTGAACAAACAAAGTTATGTTAACAATCAAAAGAATATATTTGTAAGACATGAAACCAAATAGGTATGTACTATTTACCGTTTTTCAGTACATACCAAAAATTTAAATGTGAATAAAAAAAAGTAATAGCAAAAGTAAAGTGAGAATATCGCAATTTATTAATGTACATCTAATTCACCTACGCAATATGTTTGATGATTTGTAAAGATCTTAATGATCGTAATTGATCTTAAAACAATTAAGGTGTTTACAGATCCTAGAAATTCCTTGACGAAATCTTCGTTTGTTTTGTCATGTTTCCACCTGGAATAAACAAGGTAGTTCATATGTTTCGCAGTCTTGATAAATAGTGATGCCTAAAAATAGCTGACACAGTTTGAAATAATGAGAAAGTTGCGACCATAATGAAATAAGCAATTATTCGAATTAAATTGCATGTACCGTTCCTGTTAGAAAATAATAGCAATATTTCATTTGGAAAATATGTCCTCTGATAAAATCACAAGGTTGAAACAATCTTTTATAAGTAATCGAGCTTTTCTTATTTGTATTTTCTTAACTGGTATTTTTAGGTCATATGATAACAAGCGAGCAGGTGTGTCACATGATGTTAATTTAATACGGCGTGGCCATCGACAATGGACATTGCATATGCGTTGGTAACCTTTAAATGGGCACCGGGTTCCTCACAACTTTGTATTCCCGATTTTAACAGCGTCACGTTACTGTCACGTTATTACTCATTCTAACATTCTTTTTCATTTTTTTGTCCTTATTGCACTAAAACTGTACAGAGGCGAGCTTAATGCTATAGGTACTGCATGCTCTATCTAACCATAGACGTGAAAAACAGGTCAAGCTAAATAAAATCGTTTAAAAAATGAATAGGGCAGTAAGGTAGTTGTAATCGTTAAGCAAAGTGAACAATATATAATAATGTCCCTCATTGTTTATTGTTTAAGTTATACCTAGATATAGTTTACATAATATATATACAATATACATATAATTTTGTCTATCTATACCTTCCTCTTCCGCTCAGATTTCTGTATTGGCGAGTATGTTGCTACGTTTGCACGCGGCCGCCGAAGAGGAGCCACCGTCATCGTCACACGTCCGCGAGGTAATTTGGAAATAAACTCGAACTGTATACGCATTTATCGCAAACTTTTCCGCTTGTCAGCGATCACGGCATTAGACGGTTTCTAAAATTTATAATAATACTACACATTTGAATAAAAAAGGACGAAAAGTTTCCCGCCAACGCGGGAATCAAACCCACTTCGCGATTGTCGCCCGACACTTTAACGACTAAACTAAACGGCTGTTTGCCACACAGATGAAAATCTGAAAATTCACAATTATCAAGTGCTCAATAGCGATGGCAATAATATTCAGGAAACCTGCATTGAAAAAATACCAAAAAAAGAAATATTGCGAAGATAATAAGGCTTCAATATTTGATGCCCTACTACGCTTTGGACAGAGGAGGGAGGTTTGCCCGACTGTGGGATACGTATAGGCTGTTACTTTACTATATATTTCTTTTTACTACACATTTTAATTAAGCTACTTTGAAACTATTGGCTTATTTAAACAGACAGACTCCTGTATTCTGCGAAGTAATAAAAACGTCTGGAGTTAAAAATTAAAAGCAAACTACAAAAGAATAGACGGATTTGGTAAAGTGGTTTTTAATAAATGAGCATTTGGTAAATAAGGCGAGTCAAATTCAATAAAGGGTTTCTATGACCGGACAAATCTGATCAACAAATACTTTTTCAGTATTATATAATTAACAATGAGTTGCCATTCAACCGTTAACAAATACAGAAAACATTTCAGCTTTTTTCCGTAGTACCCCCTTATCTATATATTTATTTATTTAAAAACTTTTTGCACATAAAACGTACAGTGGCGGACTTAACACCATTAGGTGTTCTCTGCCAGTAAATGAAAGATATCTTAGAAAAGAAAGGATACTGTTCTCCATTTATTGACAAACTCCTGGGTGCCTGAGAAATAAAGGCTAAATGTGTAGTTCATACATTGATTGTTTGGATAATTGCAGTGTTATGACGTTAGCTTTGTTATTTTTTTTGTCTAGGCGCTCTGTGAGAGCCAGTCGACGTCGTCGACCGGTGGAGCGGGCACATTCTGATACCGATTTCAGGTCAGTCGGACAATTAATTTACTTGTATCTAATATTTTACATAGTGCTGGGAGCAGTGGCGGATTTGTAGTCTTACGAGTAGCAGCCCTAGGTAGTCCATGACGTAGTACATGAAGTTGTCCATGTAGGAAGTTCCAGCCGCTCATTCTCAGCGCCCATCATATATCTTGTTATCGTCAGTGAATATTTTGTCACGATTGGCCGCCCTAGGCCCGGGCTTATTGGGCCTTAGAGCAGATCCGTCCGTGGCTGGGAGCATTAGAGAGAAGCTTACTTGGAGCCGTTAAAAGGGGTTCTAAAGGCATTTTCTTCGGTAGAATATAAACAGTAAGGAAAAAGTATGTGCTTTTATGAACTAGGTCACCCGCTATATACACCAACCTTACCCTGTGCAAATTAAATTTTAAATGGCAATCTTTACTCAATATAGAAGCATTACACTTATTGATTGTCAAAAAGCTACCACCGGTTCGGAAAAAAAGGTGATCTGAGTAGAAAGGGCGAAAGAAACTCAGCGGGACAATTTTTTTTTAAACGTAATATGACAAAATGCGTGCCAGTAACCCGTATAAATCGCTTCCAAACTCTGACTTTTCCTGTGAAGCTGTGGTAATTCAAAAAATATTTCGAAGATATGTGAAGTCCGCCAATCCGCGGTGAGGCCGCGGGGTGGACTGTGCCCTGATACCCCCTGAACAGAGGATGCCTTTGTCCAGCAGTGGGACAGTATAGGCTGATACTTTACTTTGACTTTTACATTTTATTTTTATTGTAGAAAATAAAATCATTTACTTATATACCAAACAAAATTTTGTTTCTTTTCTTCCTTCCTTTCATTTGATGTGCAATCACAAACGTATCATTAACTCATTTAATGATACGTTGAGTTAATGATACGTTTGTGATTGCACGTACGAGTAATGATACGCTTGTGATCAGGTATCGAGACAGCGGCTACAGTAACGGCAGAGTGAAGCGCACTCGACCGCCTCCCGCGACCTTGCCGACAAGAACCAGGTCTCAGCCGCCACCAGCTCGAGTCCACGGTTAGAAAGCTAGTGTTGTGTGAGACTCTGGTCTGCATGATTTTTTTACAACTAGTTCATGTGATGTTAAAACATACTGTTAAAAAAACAACAAACTGTTAAAACAGTCGGTTCACAACACTTTTGCGGAAGTTCTAGTTTTCTTACGGAGACTTTTCTTTTAACTTTTAGTAAGTTATTGTTAATTATCGATTCTGTTTCCCAACCATGTTGTTTCTTTAGCCTCATAAGTGTTTAAATAAGTAACTATCTAAAGAATTTGTGTTGTTCATAAATTTCAAACACTACAAAGATAATGTAATATAAGGTTTAAAAGTAAATTTATTCGACTTTAAATGTACTCATACTTGTAGTAGCGTCCCTGAAGCAAATGTAAGTTATTCTACTTTTATTATTAACCTAATTTTATTTATTAATTTTACTATGTTTGCATTTTTGAGATTTTTTTTTTGAATAAATATGTATGTACATTTCAACGGAAGATATACAAATGTATATATACTGCTCGCACTTTTTGAAGTAAATTAAAAAAAATATAAAATTTTCATTTTTGGCGTTTTTATCTCTAGATCATTGTTTTTTTGATGTTTCAGGTAGAGAAATAGAAATGGGAGATCGGTCTCCGGTGAGAAACGAGAGATACAGCCGAGATCTCTATCAAGAAGAAGATGGTAAGAGAAACTAATAACTGCATAATTTTGGTATTGTTTGCGTGGCCCTACCACAGTTATAAAAGCAAACATCTCATTCGTTCGAAAACTTTCAGAGGAATTCCCAAAAATTTCCCTACCACTGCAAGACCTGCAGGCGGCGTTGAAAGACCTGGAAGAGCATCAGTCGAAGGTGACCTCTAAATCGGAGCTGCGGAGCAAGTCGCTGCCGCGAGCGAAGCTGAAGCCCGACTTTGGGCCCCGGAGGGACTTCGACGAGGGTCGGCATTACGAGCTGGACGATGGAAGGGACATGTACGAAATGCACGACCTTCAGGTGGGGCCAACGGACGATAGGACTTTTGACAAAATAATAGCTAGCAAACATAAGAAAAATCAAGCGAATTAAGCCAACCTCCGTTTTTGAAGTGGGTCGAAACTAAAAGGAAAAAGAGAACGGAATTAACGAAACGACATAGTAATTATAGAATACATTGCTTACTTTATTCGATAGGTTATTTTCGTAATTTATCGAAAGGGTTTTTTACCCAAAAACCGGCTAATAATTGACTACTAACTCGCTACCAGGTGAGTAAGATGTAATCTTAGATGGTAAACGCACTAGCTCAGAAACAGCCTATTCAGTATCGCTTTGAAGAGTTATTTTAACCTGAGACCTTCTCATACCATTATTACGTATTCGGATAAATTCTAGTGGAATTGTAACAAAATATCATAATGTGATGCTTCAGGACGTGGACTATGAGAATTTTAAAGAGCGGAGGGCGTTGGAGGAACGTGAACGGCGGAGGAGAGAGAGGGACCTCGGCTACCAGGATCGGGGCTATGACCCTGAAGACGAAGAGTACGACGTTGAGAGCCCACGAGTGAGAAGGCCTGGATACGATCGCAGGTGAACTGTTGTATGGAGTCAACAATGTTACAGTAAATGTAGAACAATGCTAAACAGCTGTGTAATTCGTTTTTGAATGTCATATTTTTCTCCTGTGTAAAGTAACGCTATGCTCGAGCAATTTGGCTATATTCAAATATTTTTAGTTCAAGATGAAAGAAAGCGATACTTTCATCATATTGTGTCAAGCTTAGTACGCATATTTTATTAGTACGACACAGCGATTTCACTAACTTCTACACAGGACGAATAAGCATATACGTAACATATTTTGTAAATATTAGCGTTTTTCTTGTTATAAATCTCTCTGTGCACCTACTTAATCTTCTCTGTACCATACCAAGTTTGACTGGGAGATAACATGCCTTTGGCATTAAGTTCACTTTGTACTATTTGTGCATAAAGGGTAAATAAATAAATAAATAAGAATCGTTCTATATGATTAGTACACGAATACTTCGACTCGTTTCACCAATGTGACTTGAGGGTCTGTACTAGTTCAGGAAAACTTCAAAACGAGCCACCAATGTGACTTAAGAGTCTAGTAGTAGTACTTCTACTACTAGACTCTCTAACTCTCCCTTGAAGTTTCCCGATTTCGTTTAGATACGACCGCGGCCGTTCAGAGTACTACGAGCGTGACTTGGAGGACTTTGACGTGGAGCGACGCAGAGACCGCCGCGCCCGGAGCGCCATGTACGAGGGCGAGAGAAGACCAGACCGGTGGAGGGGCGAAGCCCGGGCGAGGGGCGAAGACCGGTGGAGGGGCGAAGATAGATGGGGCGACGACCGGTGGAGGGACGACAGATGGGCCCAGGACCGCGGCGTCATCGAAGAAAGGCGTGATCCGCGACGCCTGCGCAGACTCTACACAGTCGACGATAGCGGAAGACCGCGTTCTGGCTACGTAAGTCTGCTCAATTCAGCGCAATGGCACCGCCACAGACATCACTTTGTATTTATCTTTTGTTGTTTCACAGATTAAGCAATTCAGTTATTATCGATAACACAGTGTATATAAATGTAATACCAAGTCTTCTTGTCATTTTCGTTTGATTTTTGATGTTTATTTTTAGTGTTATCTCCCGCACTTAAGATGAAACCTAATAATGTGTAGATAAATCTTCAAAAGAATTTTCGCCACTACAAGGATTCATCTTATGTTTATTTACAGCTAACACTTTCTCCTGTAACGTAGACGTAGGTGAACTGCCAAAAAAGTTTTCTTGTCATGACGATATCGATAGCTTGTGGCTAGTAGTTAGAAAGGAGCAGATCTTGGCAGCTGTGACAAATGTTTGGACAATTTATATATAAACTTTACTCTGTCTTAAAATAGCGACCACATCTTCCTTGAAGAACTACTTACTATTTTGAGTTATCATTTATGAAATAATTCCTGACCATCTTTTCAGACTCCTTCGCCGGATAGAGACGACTGGAGTGATGAACTGCCTCCCGTGCGTCGCAGGCCAGCAGGTATATGTTCAAACTAGCGACTCGCCCCGGCTGCGCACGGGTGCAGTGTATTATACATATAAACCTTCCTCTTGAATCAATATATCTAGTAAAAAAACCGCATCAAGACCCGTTGCGTAGCTTTGAAACATCTAAGCATACATAGGGACAGACAGCGGGATGATTTTATTTTATTCTATGTAGTGATTTACTTTGATGCTAATAGCTTCATTTGTCGTAGCCTTGTTAATTAGTATAACGGCGATAAATAAAGGATTCTTATAGATAAAGGTTGTTTACGTAAGGTTATTCATTAATTAAGATTTTTATGATGGATCGGCGTGATAACCCAATTGGGTGATTGTCATCATGATTTGCATTCTGAGGTCATAATATTGAAACTCATGGGAAATTTTTAAATTTCCGTTATTTGGTTCCGTAAATATGAACAAGGGTTGTATGAGATCTTTACTCAGTGTATGTAAATTGGGAAGTTGTAATAATTGTCTTTATATGTTCTCTTATTTCATATTTTTTATAGAATATGGAATATTTGTATGTTTGCCCTTTATGCCCTCCTGAACCATCCCTCTGATTGTGATAATTTTGGTGAGTTGTTCTGATTACGCTCGCGTATGTTTCTGGCCCAAAATATTTCTTTGTATATTATTTTCTTTGTAGTTATTTTGTAAAAAAAATATTACAAAGGGGTTCTAACGCAGTCTAGGCGTTACGTAATAATAACAATGTACGTCATATAAAATTCAAATGACAAATCAAATGATTTTCAATATTTAATTGCGACTCGTTAAATGCAAATACTAAACTAAATAACTCAAATTTCCGTTTCCTTAGCTTGGGGCTCCCGTCAATCCGACTTATATCCAGTTGGACCAGTGTCCTTAACGGCAAAAGAGGAAGTGAGTATTGTATGTCTGCATACGTTCAAATTATGTTTGCGTCAAAGTCAAAGTAAAAGTCAAAATTTCTTTATTCAACATAGGCTTGTTTTAACCTCTTATTGAACGTCAAAAACTACCACCGGTTCACTAAACTAGACTTGCAAGAGAAGAACCGGCAAGAAACTCTGCGGTCATATATGTATATATATATATATATATATATTTTTAAAGTATTTAAGTATACACACAAAATTATTTTAGTATAATTTAGCAGGAGCCAGGGGACTTGCTCTGCACTTGCAAAAGACTGGCTCCTGCTAAAGTGCTGCAAGTGCGTAATGTTTTAGTATACTCTTTGATTTTTCACGATGTTATTGTGTTATTTAGATAATATGAGTTCAGTTAATATGAAACGAAACATCCTGTCTAAGTCTCATTGCTGGAATAGGGTCACTTTGCGGATTGGTAAACTTGAGTTTACTAAGTTTTTTGTATTCCCTAGATTCTCTTCATTTTTTAGATTTTTTTGATTGGTCTGATTAAGGAATGTTTTCTAATCGCACGTTCAGCAATAGCTGCTGAAAATTGCTAAATGTTTCATCATTCTCTTATAATGACGAAAGTGTTGTTATGATGGTAATAAAAGATGATGCCCTGTCGTGGCAGATCAAGCCGGTACCGATCTGGCTGTGCGTCCTGCTGGTTGCGTCCTACATCGTGGCCGGAACTTTCCTGTTCAAGCGGTGGGAGGGCTGGGCGTATTTGGACGCGGCCTACTTCTGCTTCATCACACTCACCACCATTGGCTTTGGGGATTTCGTGCCTGCTCAGGTCAGTTCCGAGTTACGAGAATTTTAATAAGTCGAGGTGTTGCGAATGAAAGGATGTTATAGAAAGGCTGGCGCTAGTAAAGCTGCGAAATTGTTGGGCATGCTTTGCGCCTTCAGTTAGTAAGTTTAAGCCTGCTTTACAAAGACTCCACTACGTTTTGCCGGACTCCATGTAGTACCTCCAATATTTTTGTACCACCCATCACCCATTACTGTCTAGTATAGGGCACTCAGCACCAGGAGGCTCGGTGTGAATGAAAATAAAACTTCCACGGACACGCTTGTGTTGGTTTTTTCCCCAACTTCGTTTAATTTGTTTCCTGTTGTTATCAGGCCCATGCCCTGTAACAATGTTTCGTATCTAAAGCTTTATTGCCGTTGTTTTTTTGCGTGCAATTAGATAAGAGAAGTTAACAAATCCTGCTTTATACGGTCAAATCAGTGTCAGCAGAATAATCCGAGTTTATTAAAATTAATATCGTGAATTAATGTTATATTAACAGTGCCAACTTGTGGCTTCGAACTTCTTCTGTTCAATGGAGTACTAAAATATTGCTTTATATAATCGAACGAGGTTTATTAAATTATGATGCACGTATAATTTTTCAAAATTATATCGAAAAACACATTCATATAATTTACCACTTGCATTTGTAAAGTAGATGTTACGTAAAACGTTGAACTTTTCTCCTAATTACTTTTCAATTATGTGGCAACGCATATGCTACGCCCGCAGCGTGGTCAATGGACGTTACCACTTGAAATAAGATTCACCACCAGACTTAGCATTTGTTACTTGAAAAAAAAAAAAAAAAAAAAAAACCGGCTAGGTGTGAGTCGGACTCGTGCATGAAGGGCTCTCCCTACCATCATCTATAAAAATAATGGCAAAAAAATACAAAATATTAACTTAAATATTTTGCTATTCAATTTTTTTGTATTTGTTGTATATATATTAGGAGTACAAATAAGTTTCCGCCGTTTTATTGTAGATGGTGCGGCACGGAGTTTCGGTTAGCTTTCGCAGATGATAACCGGCTTAAAAAATAGTTTGGACATTCAAGAACAACATAACCTATTAATATCATTGATTTTATATTGGTAAAATATAATTTTTATAAGTTGAAAATGTCAAAATTTGAGCCAAGTAAGCGTCATTTGCGGGAAATATTAGTTTACTTCTTTAATTTAAAGAAATCTGCTGCTGAGGCGCATCAATTGCTCGTAGAAGCATATGGTGAGGGTGCTTTGAGTGAGAGAACGTGTCGAGAGTGGTTTCAAAAGTTTAAAAACGGTGATTTCGACGTAGAAGACAAAGATCGCAGTGGAAGGCCAAAAATTTACGAGGATGCAGAATTGGAGGAATTATTGGAGGAAGATTCATCTCAAACACAAAAAGAACTTGCTCTAACATTAGAAGTCACTCAGCAAGCAGTCTCACATCGTTTAAAATCATTAGGAATGATTCATAAACAAGGAAATTGGGTTCCGTACGAATTAAAGCCGAGAGATATTGAACGCCGATTATGCTTAAGTGAAATGCTGCTAGCTAGACATAAAAAAAGGGTTTTTGACATCGTATCATAACTGGTGATGAGAAGTGGATACATTATGACAATCCAAAAAGAAGAAAATTATGGGGATTACCTGGCCACGCGTCAACATCAACAGCAAAACCGAATATTCACGGAAAAAAAAAACTTATGCTGTGTATTTGGTGGGATCAGCTAGGTGTAGTGTATTATGAGTTGCTTAATCCGAGCGAAACAATTACTGGAGCCCTCTATCGAACACAATTGATGAGATTGAGCCGAGCTCTGAAGGAAAAACGCCCTCAATACTACTCTAGACACGAAAAAAATATTCTTCTGCATGACAATGCTCGTCCACATGTTGCGGCTCCCGTGAAAAAGTACTTGGAAACACTTGATTGGGAAGTGTTACCCCACCCGCCGTATTCACCAGACATTGCACCGTCCGATTATCACCTGTTCCGGTCCATGGCACATGCTCTGACGGCGCAGCGGTTCACATCTTATGAGGATACCAAAAATTGGGTTGATTCGTGGATAGCCTCAAAAGACAAGGAGTTCTTCAGACGTGGGATTCGAATGCCTGAGAGATGGGAAAAAGTGGTTGCAAGTGATGGGCAATATTTTGAATAAATTTATATTACCGTTCTTCTACAATAAATATTTAATTTGTGTTAAAAAACGGCGGAAACTTATTTGTACTCCTATATATATATATATATATATATATATATATATATATATATATATATAGAGAGAGAGAGAGAGAGAGAGAGAGAGAAAAAATTTCAACGTTCTAACTATCACGGTTCGTAAGATACAGCCTGGTGATACGGACAGACAGACAGACAGACAGCGGGGTCTAAGTGTCTCGTTTTATTCTTTGGGTACGGAACCCTAAAAACATAACGTTCCGCGTAACATAACGTTGCGGCCTTTCAGGGTCAGAGCGGCGAGGCGGCCGACGCGGTGCACTCCATCGCCCTCTGCTCGCTATACCTGCTCTTCGGTATCGCCCTCCTGGCCATGTCCTTCAACCTGGTGCAGGAGGAGGTGCGCGCCCACGTGGCCGCCGTCGCCACCAGGCTCGGCATCATCAAACCGCGCGACCCACCCGACGACTACTGACCCGCTGGCGCCCGGTTTTGTAAACACTGATCATCACATCCTTAAATAATTAGCTGTCAAATGGCTTTTCAAATCAAATCAAAAATATATTTATTCAAATAGACACTTATGAATCGTCGTAGAGAATTATATATATAGGTTCATAAGCTTTTACATTACCACCGGTTCGGAAAGAAGTTTCTGTTGAGAAGAGACTGGCTAGAGCTCAAAAGTTGCTTTTTTTCAAAAGCATTTTACAATGTAACGTACAGGTATAAGTCAAAGTCAAATATCTTTATTCAATATAGAAGCATTCACTTACTTATTGATAGTCAAAAAAACTCGGTTCGGAAGGAAAGCCACTGACCTGAGAAGAACCGGCGTAAGAAACTCAGCTTGTAAAACTGATAATAATCTTGAGTTGCCAAAAGGATGGTTAAACTATTTGAATGATCATTCTGATCATTGTGAGGGTCATTCTAATCAATCCAGAGAGTTTAACCATCCTTTTGGCAACTCAAATGAGCTTTGAAAATCCATTTGACGGCTGATTTGTTAACTTCTACGATTATCAGTGTTTCAGAAACCGGGCGTAAGTGTAACAACTAAGTGTATACATATGTATGCTACCATCACTAAGGAAGGAAGGAGCTACGAGCTATTGGCCCAATGGATGGTGGCCCTGTCTCCTGCGCCGGAGGGTGTGTCTTCGATCTCCACTACTAGGAAAATCTTAGCTTTTTTTTTTTAAGTTTTATTGATTTTAAATGGGCTCTAACCTTTGCACTGCATTGCATTGTTTCTATTGATGTTTTGATTGTAGCAGAAATAAATATTTTACTTCTTTCAATGGTGTTTATGTTTATGTCTATAAAATTTGGACATTGATTACCTTGAGAAGAAAGAAGCAGTCCTATGCCACAACCAATATGGAAATCAACCAATGGCCCCATTTTAGTACATAAAGTATAGTAAACAGACTGTCTGAGATTTAGTTAATTTTTTATTTACTATGATTATATATATTATATAATTATATATTATCCTATATTATTTATATAAACTAAACACTAGATTATCCACTATTATTTATATAAAATCCACGAGAAAAATGCAAATGACTATAAGTTTCAATTGTCTATTGTACTATAACAATCGATTCCTTGGTTGATTTATAATAAATCGTAACGTAATTTTTATATAATTTGCACGCATTTGCACTATAGCGCGTGTAACACGAATTCCTCATGAGATAACACGTTTCTTAATTTGAATATACATAATGTATATCGATAAAACTTATCAATCCACAACCTTGTTACATTATAAATTAAAAGTTATCTGCGAAATAACTTATCCCCAATATCAGATAAGCGAAATCTTTATAATATATTGAAAGACCGTGAATTTATCGACGATAGGAAGAACTGTATTAACTCGTTCAGCTAATTCGTCGTAAATTAATATCGTTTATCATTATCGATTGGCAATCAAAGAAAGCGAAAGTTTGTATGTGTGTTCGGTTTTTTTCAATTCTCAAAAACTTACATCAACGAAAGAGCCTCTCACAATTTTGCACTTCTTCGTATAAACTATAAGCGTGGGCTTCTCCTTCCGCGCAGTTTTCGTAAATATGTGTACAAAGATTTTTCTTCACGTATTAATGTATAGATTAGTCGCGGGTGAAGTCGCATGTAAAAGTATGTATTGTCGAGTATACGATCGAACGTAATCGATGGGTCGGCTCATTGCGCGAGTGGACGCCCAGCCGACGGTAGCCGACTGCGTCCGCGATGTCGACCGCAAAGGTGGAAACTGGAGCCGCGAAGCAGGGCGTGGACCTGGACAACATCCTCATCGAGGAGGTGGGCCAGTTCGGCAGGTATCAGATCGTGACCCTGCTGCTGGCCGCGTTCCCCGTCATCTTCTCCGCGTTCGCCTCCGGGGAGTACATCTTCACCACCGCGAGGATACCAACTAGGTATGTGAATGGTGAAAGTGATAATTTTGGATATAAAACGAACCGACTTCAAACAGGACGCTAAAGCCATTGTCAACGCCTATAACGTTTGAGGATTGCCCTTGATTTGCCTGAGATGCCATCGTCAGATCCGGGTTTCCTTGCCACGTACCACCCTTGGGTTATCTCCTTTCCAGCAATAAAAGAATCATCAAAATCGGTTCATAAATGATGAAGTTATCCGCGAACACGCATTAAAAAATATATATGTATAAACGGTCGAATTGAGAACCTCCTTCTTTTTTGAAGTCGGTTAAATTCGTGTTTCTAGGTTAACGGGAACTACCATTTGGTCCTCGACCCAAAAACTATAGGATACTTCTGGTTGACCTAGAATTTGGTTGTCAATTTTGGTTATAAGCAAGGTCTAAAAGTTGAAAATTAAGGTAAATTTTGGTACTTACTTATTAAAGGTTTTCGTGAAAATCTAAATTTGCCCATATCTTTTTATCGTGTTGACTCAGGACCTCGATTTGTATACGCCTATTATTGACTATAGAACTCAGTATCTGGTATAAATTTCAACTTCGTAGGTCCACCCGTTCCTGAGAGAATCGGTGGTGATTATTTACCAATTTTATCATGACGGCATAATGGGTAGGTACGGAACCCTCGGCGTACGAGTTCTACTCGCACTTGACCGGATCACAATGCTTGCCTTCACTGCCTTCACTTGATATACTTAGGGAGCACATAAAATAGCAACTAACAATGAATGATATGAATAGTATAATATATAAATCTAACATAAATTAAAATATAATAAATGGTTGGTAGTTAAGCCACCGGATTTCAGTGATCACTCATGTCTTGAATTCTACTGGATGTCCGGTGCATTCATTTGTGGTACTCATTCTAATAGCATACCATCAATTTCAGTTTATACAGTAGAAAAAGTAATAAGAACCTTCTTTAAAGTGGGATGGTACTCCACATCCCACTTATGGTATTATATTTTATGGTATTCTTATTAGATTTTTGCTCTAAGCAGAATATAGCTTAAATTGATATTTTTAGATTAAACAGAATGTGAACAAGTCCTTTCCCGATGTTCAGATTAGAATTAACTGTAAGTTCAGACAAAAGTTCATAGGTTCTGTTATACGACAGTATTTAAAGTCTAGCCAGTGAGCTTTGATCAATGTTTTTGTCGAAATACTGCGAAAAGTTGCCAAACGAGCAGACGGATCACCTAATGTTAAGTGAATGCCGCCGCCTATGGACATCTGCTACACCCGAGGGTTACAGATGCGTTGACAAACTTTTGAAAGTTGGGCTCCGGCTACCTCATTCGCCAGACAAAACGCGAAAGTATTTGTCATACTCCCACTTTACGCTGGTCTTCTGTGAGGTCGTGGTACTTACACGGACGGGCCTGCCCGTTTGTGCAACAGCTGAGGCTGCTGCGTGGCCCTGCCACCGTAAGACCGTTGTTTTTGTCTCTACTTCTATTCAAAATGGGGTAGGGTGTAAAATTTTGCATATATTCAATTTTATGACAGTTAAATTATTTTGTCAGTCGACTTTTAGAAATAACAAGTTCAACTTCAGGTTCGTATGTTTTCTTATCTTTAATTATATATTATAATATCTATGTAATTTATACGACTTAGATTATAATAACATGTGCGAATTTGTACTATATGAGTCTGTATAATAAATTTCGCACATGCTTTGATTAGCTCCACATTATTAGATGTTAAAGCCAGTAATTTATATTATCACATATCAAATTTAGCGATAGAATATCGTCAAGCTGAATACACGTGAATTATTAAAGAGATAAAAATAATAATACGCAACAGCGATAAAAAGAGTGGGTTACTAAGCTTTGTTTATAAATTTCCAATAAATGCAAGTGGTTTTTTTTTCAGATTTTGCGTTGAAAATTTGCTTCTGACTTATGTCACGCTTATTTATATTTTCCTTTTTATATTTCGTCTCCATCGGTATTTATAACATTTTCAATTTTTCGATAAGATTCCTTATGTTTGTTTCTTCATGTCTTTCGTAAATAATCAATGACGCACTCTACATAATTAGTTATTATGTCATAATCTATCGTGAAGATGTTATTGGGATGTGTTGATGAAGATAAAGAGTAGAGTTCAATTTTGCGTTAAGTCTGGGTCTAAAGGTGGATGAGGTAACCGGGGCCTATTTAATTAAAAGACTGCAACTCATTTGCAATCCTACGGGTGTTGCAAATGTCCATGGGAGGTGGTTAGCACTTCACTTCTCATCTTCTTCATCTTGTTATATTAAAAAATACAAATTTTATTGAAGTCGTTTTAACAAAAAGCCTGTACAAAAATACAAACTCTCAAACAAAACTCGGGGGTAATTTTATATTTTACTGAGAAAATCACCAGGATAGATTTGGTATTCCGAAAAGAGCTCAGCACTTACCAAAAAAAACTACGAATACTTTACGTCACGCTTTAATTACAAACTTTTAAAGAGATAAAGCCGGTTATAATTCTATATGCATCATTATTCCCTTATATATAGATTTAAAATAAAATCTTCATTCACTACAAGATGTCTACTAAATATTTACAACATCGCAAAAAATTGGTAATGGATCTTCGGTTTCGGAGAAACTTGGGTAGCTTCTAGATCATTACTGTCTGTCCCTGTGTATGCTTAGATCTTTAAAACTACGCAACGGATCTTGATGCGGTTTTTGTTACTAGATAGAGTGATTAAAGCGGAAGTTTTTTATGTATAATACATTGCACCCGTGCGAAGCCGGGGCGCGTAGCTAGTCAATCATGAAATGAATACAGATCAAGATATTTGAGGTCGCTTTTGTTAAACGGTTTTATTTAGCTCGACACTTTCCCGTTGTCAGATTGATCTGAAATTTGGTACACACATTTAATTTAGATGACAATACAATATTGTAGTTTTCAGTGCACAAAAAAAAAAAAAAAACAGAAAATAAAACCGTTTAACTTAAAAGTTTTTAAACGGTTTTATTCATTAATCAAAATGGACTTGTCGCGCAGATGTTTCATCCCGCGGTGCGACAACCCGGACCCCGTGTTTGAGCCCTCGTGGATTCTCAACGCGGTGCCGGCGACCTCCAGTGGCTTCGATAACTGCGCGAGGTTCGCCGACAGCTTGGTGGGCACGAACGCGACCGGCGTGTGCCCCGCCGAGTGGTTCGACCGATACCGCACCCTGGACTGCGAGAGATTCGTGTACGAGAACGAAGACACCGTTGTGCATACCGTGAGTACGAGGAACCTTAATTTAGTAAGGCCGACCTGACCTCTCAGTCCTGTGTTCTTGGTCTTTCAACAGGAAGGAGAAAAAACCGTTCAAATGCCAGTCGGACTCGCGCGAAGGGTTCCGTACCCATTAATTAATAAATAATGCGAAAAAAATCATATTTCTTGTATGGTATATGAGAATACAAATTATTAGCACTAGAGTTAACTTAAATGGCTAACTGATCAAAAAAAAGTCGTAAATTTATTTGTTCTTTTCCCCCCCGAGAAAAACCCCCTCGGGAAAACCCCGAGTTGACTGGTAAAGATCGCCAATAGGCTTGAAGTTCGTCCTTTGTAGTCAATATTTAAGGTGATTGCAATAAATGATAAATAGAGAAGTATCTCTTGCATTCCACTCAAGTAGCGAATACACATAATTACTTATTTAATTTTTTTTGTAATTGATTGGCCTTTCCAGTTTGACATGGCTTGCGACGAATGGCGTCGGTCGCAAATCGGCTCCATCCGTACCATTGGCACACTGCTGGTGCTGCCGATTACTGGGTACATATCAGACCGCTGGGGCCGCCGCGTGGCGCTCACCATAAACGCTTTCAACACGGGCTGGTTGGGTCTGGCCAGGTCCTTTGTCAACACTTACGAATGGTTCCTCGCCCTCGAAGTCATCGAGTCCACGGTGGGGGCCGGTGCATACTCCTCGTGCTACATTTTGGGTGAGTTCAACTTTTTAACAATAGTTAGCGTTGCTTTGAGATATCGTATAGGCAAAATAAATGTATTGTGTGTAACCTTCTACATTGTTAAATCTACAAGTGGTACCGTTCCGATTTTATCATCGAAACAAAAATATCAGAAGCTATCAATTTCACCAATATCTTCAGTTGGCAAACGGTACTCATTGTTTTTGTCTTTTATTTATGTGGTACAAAACTTAGAGGTAACATCGACCTTTTTTATGAGAGAAGGTGGCTGAGGAGCCGCCGGTTCACCTGATGTTAAGTGATAACTGCCGCCCATTGACATTTTCAATACCCGTAGTGTTGTAGTTGCGTTGCCACCTTTTGATGAAATGGTCCCCGGCTACCTCAATCACGAGAAGAAACCCAGAAGTATACCACTTCCATTTCACGCTGGTCTTCTGTAAGGTCGTGGTACTTACCCGGACTGACCTACCTACCCATTTGTGGAACAGCAAACAATGTTACATGGCCCTACCACCGACAGCGTGGTAGGTCCAATATAACTTGTATCAGATAAATTGTGTGAAATCTTAATCCACAATTGGTAATATCCAGAAAAAATAGTAATAATACGCGAAGCCATCAATATCATCAATTGGCTTACAATAATCATTCTCTTAGTCTTTTATTTATGTGGCACAAAACTTAGATGTAACGTATACCTTAAGAAGTGGAATGTAAAACGATATTTCTTACTAATCTATTTTTATGCTAACAGCCAATACGAAAACGCTAAAACTGCAATGTGTTCCTTTCAGTAACGGAGCTAGTTGGACCAAAGTACCGAGTCATAGCAGGAGCAACAATATCTACTATGTTCGCCTTAGGGCAAGTCATCCTTGGCTTCATAGCCTGGGGAGTCCCTAATTGGAGGACGCTCACACAAGTGCTATACGCGCCGCAGCTGCTCGTCGTGAGTTACTTCTGGATCTTGTCCGAGTCTGTCAGGTGGCTCATGTCCAAAGGCAGATACGAAGAGGCAGAGGCGATCTTAAAGAAAGTGGCTAAGACTAATAACAAAGAACTGTCCGAGAAGTCGTTGGCAGCTCTCAGAGCGACGGCAGAATCCGAAAAGCTTGTTGAAAAGCCTAAAGAGACTTGGCTGCCGATATTGGTTGTCAGATCTCGTGTCATACTCTCCAGATGCATTGTAGCTCCAGTGTGGTGGGTGACCAACACGCTCGTGTATTACGGGATGTCGATCAACGCCGTCAACTTGTCCGGGAACCGGCACCTCAACTATGTGGCGGTAGCGGCAATAGAGATTCCTGGCTACTGGACAGCGATTCTTCTCCTCGATCGCATAGGAAGAAAACCTGTGCTCATTACAGCGTACTGGCTGTGTGCCGCCTGCCAGTTTGGCTTCGCCTTCTTACCTGAAGGTGCGTAAAATCATTGTAAAGTTTATTTAGAAAAGTATGGTGGTAATTTAATGTAGCATTTCAATTTCATGATAGAAGTAGAATTAATCCTATTGTTATTTTAAATATCATTTTATTGCTATTGCCAGTTACCATTCCTATATGAGGCCAATATACGTAAAGTTCGTATGAGCTGCTATGATTTGAATATGTTTAACGATGAATAAACGTTTGTGTGGCATTTATTGTTGCTAGACTTTTAGGTTAGCTGCTACAAAGAAATATGATATTAAGTTATTTGAACTATACAAAAATTAAAAGCTTTTAGAACATGCCCAGTTAACTGATGACTTCTTCGTAGTGGCTTCGGCCTCGGGGGTTGTGGGTTCGATCTTCACAGCGAATAACTATTTGTGTGATCCACAGACAGTTGTTTCGCATCTTTGTGTTTGTGCACGTGAAATTTATGTTTGTAAAACGTCCTTATAACACAGAATAACGTTATCCTAATTACATTATAGGGCAATGTTTTAAGAAAAAATAAACAATAAAAACGTAACGTCAAGTCTTTCTAAAACGGTGGTATCGATAACGGTTTTTTATGGAAAAAAGGGACATACGAGCAGTAGGCACGTCAGAGGGTAAGTGATCACCGCAACCTTTGCAACATCGGAGTGCTTGCAAATGAGTTGCCACAACTAATGCCCATCACGATTTCCAGAATCAATGAATCAAAATCCATCCATTTCTACCAAACGTTTTACGCACAGCGTTATATTAATAGCTGTCAATCCCAAATGAGGGTCGTTCCTATCATCGAAGTATGTCGGTGAGTTCTGTATCTATGATACATATAAATGATTATCTGATTCCCTTATTTTGAACAGGCTACGAAGGTCTATCGTTGGCACTGTACCTCATCGGCAAGTACAGCATAGCGGTGGTGATGACGTCAGTGTACGTGTACACCGCGGAACTCTTCCCCACCAAGTACCGCCACAGCCTCTTCGCGTTCGCGTCGATGGTGGGGCGGCTGGGGTCCATCACTGCGCCCCTGACACCCGCCCTCGTGAGTATAGTAACTTGAAAATTAGGTTGTGATATAGCTGATTTATATACAACAATCTGACCTTCGCCCATTTCGTTGGGTCACACTATCTTCTTAAGTAAAAAAAAACACAGGCCATATTCTCCGCAACACGCTTATGGTTTAAGTATTATTCCGATCGGTGCGCAGTATAAAGTAAAGTAAAGTAACAGCCTATACATAAATGTCCCACACTTACACATTGAAATTAAACATTACACATTTAAACCGCAAACATAAAAAATTAAATGGTAAAAAGAAGAAAAAAAAATCGAAACATCACACATTTTACACACACACTTGTGTGTGGCGTATACGGCAAACAGACCAGCACTCAGTTTAATTCCGCTGGTTTTCAGTGGGCCTGAGATGGTAAAGTAAAAAAATTTCTTTTATGTTACAGAATTATGTTATCTTACAGTTGGGTTAGAGGAATATTTGTCAGGAACATGACAAAGTTTTATGGTTGCTATTATTTTCCATGTATCCACATTTTTTTGATAATTTCGATTAAAAAATAAGTGGCTCTGTTGTTCAAATTCATTCATCAATTCAATTTAAGAAGTAACATGATCATATAAGATTGCTAGAGTTTTAGATTTATTTTGTAAATAGCGACTACTTACCTTATTATTTGTACAATTTTATGTTTTTAGATAAATACACAACTGGATATATAATAATGATAATTATAACTATAACTTGGCAAAGCCCAAGATAGGTTCACACCAGTAGCAAAATATTCCTGGACATATTTTTACACGACGTTATCTAATCCCAAACTAAGTGAAGCTTGTGTTATGAGCACTGGATAATTGATAATTGATTTGAACATACTTTTATTTTGTAAATTATAGATATGTAAACACACAGATACTAAAACACATTATGGTCACCACAGAACATTTTACTAACATTAGGGATCGAACCCACACCTACCGGCGCTAGAGAGCAACACAAAATATCTTACGTCGTGTATAGAGTAATAAGTGTCCACAAATCTTAATATGCGGGCGGTGTATATCGTTATTACATTTAAAATCAACATTTCTCCCCCCCAAAAAGTTCGCGCCACGATATAAATAAAAAAAAATGAACATCTTCAGGCGCTGGAAGTATGGGAGAGTCTTCCTTCAGTCCTCTTCGGGAGCTTCGCCCTGCTTTCCGGATTGCTGATCTTCACGACGCCAGAGACCCTGGGCACGAAGCTGCCCGACACCATGGAAGAAGCGGAACAGCTCAGCAATAAGAAGCCCACCACAGATCTTTAACGTTATTAAATATAGTTATTAATTTACACTTAACTCCCTGCGTATTTTTGATCACCTTTCATATAATTATAACCTTAAAGTTGGTAAGTACACAATAAGATTTGTGCAAGCATTGATGCTTGCAGGAATCTTATTGTGTACTTACCAACTTGAACTTTACTGGCTTGAAATTTGTCCTTTGTAATCCCTATTTAAGGTGATTGCAATCCTTACTAATACTGTATATTATAAACGCGAAAGTTTGTATGTATGGATGGATGATTGTTACTCTTTCACGAAAATACTACTAAATGGATTTTAATGAAACTTTACTTTAATATAGCTTATACATGAGAATAACACATATGCTATAATTTGTATACATATTTTTATGTATATTTGTCTTTATGTCTGAATGTTAAGCCTTCAGCCTATTCTACGCAGACGAAGTCGCGGGCAGCAGCTACTATCAAATAATACAATGAAGAAAAAGTTTTTGATTAGCGATTAGCCTGTGTATGTATTTTTGCTCCAAAAAGGCAGAAATATTTTTTCAGTATTTGACCACCTCTGTGTTTAGTATACAAGGTTTAGTGTACAAGGTATAGTATACAAGGCTCGCTGTTTAGGGTACAAGGTGAAAGACCTTGACCGTGAATTGGCCCAGTGCAATTATAATAATAAATCTTAATTATTTGAATATATAAAGCACTTCATTGGCACTATGTGCGTATTATGGAAGGCCATGACTGATAATGAAAACTTTGCTATTGTTCAGGCGTAGTTAAAGCTTATATGTTTTATGAGTGAATGCTAAAAAAATAGGGAATTGAGGCAAACGATAAAGGGGATTACGTGATAGTAAGTGGCCACAGCCGCCGAGTGCCACATCGAAGGAGTGACAACTGCGTTTTGCCTTTGAAATAGGAATAGGCTCTCTTCTTGAAGGTCTCTAAGTCGCACTGATTTATACTGCTGGCGACAACTGGTTGCACAAAGTGGCAGAAAGTGTCATCAGTATGGCAAGCAGGTGCGGACACCGCCGGTCGTGATGTAGCCGTCGGACATAGTTGTGCTATATATGTTAATATTTATTTATTATTATAGAGTAGATATAAATATTAAGGCAAAGTTTAAAAGTTTTTACATTATGTAAGTATTTGCATTTTTTTATTTATTAATTAGTGTTTATGATCTTTTTTACGTTATTGCACCTACCACGATCTCTCTCCACGCCCCGGGTTGACTGGGAGATAATGCCCAAATGGCATTAAGTCCGCCCTTTGTAATCCTTTTTTAAGGTTTTGCAATAAAGCATAAATAAATAAATAAATAAAGATAGTTTAGAGATACTGAGTGCCATCGGCTTATGCAATATATCACGCAGTAATTTCCATATACACTCACGAGTGTAAAGTCTCATGTTTCCAGTTTGTTCTATGCCAAATACCTAGGAACGGTAGGATACACCATAGGATACGATGGATACACCGTCCAACCTCTTATCGAGATCGAGGATACTCTTGTTAGGGTTGGTGAAAAAAAATCAATTTCATTTGTACAGAAGATTTGGATATAGAAAGACCTTGATGTAAAAATTGTCATATTGGCCCTTATCAACATATAATATAACTGAAGGATATTGTTAATTTTACGGTAATCAAATTTTAGAAGATTAAGGGAGCACTATCAAAGCACGTGCTAGTAAAAGCTATTGTTTTTGTGATACAAAAATCGCATTGTAACCGTTACTCTATAGATAATAAAGACTTTATTAACCGACTTCCTAGTTACTGAGTTTGTCGGCACATTGTTTCAGTCATATGGCTATTGGGTATTACTTCGAATTGTGATTTTTTTATGTTTTGTTGTCAAACGAGCAGACGGTTCCCCTAATGTCAAGTGAATACCGCCGCCCATGGATATCTGCCACACCCGAGGGTTACAGATGCGTTGACCACCTTTTGAAAATTGGGCTCCGGCTACCTCACTCACCAGACGAAACGCGAAAGTATTTGTCATACCTCCACTTTACGCTGGTCTTCCGTGAGGTCGTGGTACTTACCCGGACGGGCCTGCCCATACGTGCAACAGCCAAGGCTGCTACGTGGCCCTACCACCGTAGCGTGTGATCTGCAAAGAACGCTCTTTAAAGTAGGCTTTCTAGTTGGACGGCTACGGTATATTACATGCAGCAGTGTTCCCTGTTGCACGAATGGTTCAAGGAAGCACCACGACCTCACAGAAGACCACCGTGAAGTGGAAGTGTTATACTTTCGCATTTCCTGATGTAACAAACATAAAAAAAAAATACACGACCAATCGAGAAAAGCCTTCTTTTTTTAATTCGATTGAAAAATTGATTACAGTCCATACGGAGATTTCGGTCGGGTAAAAGTTTTCTTTGTGTCCGGTAATCGGGCACACTGAATTGAAAGTTAAAAATGGGCTGGGTGCACCCATGATGATATAGTATACAGCAACAATAATAGTATACGATAAATAAATGAAGCTACGAATTCAATCTAAAAACGGCTCATGTAGCTGACCTACCTACTCAATGCTTATTCTTTACTTACTTGAAAATCGTTGCTTTGACTGAAAGTTTGTGTTAAGTTCACTTGAGCAGAAGCTTAGCAAAGTTTTTATCAAAATTATTTATGTTTATAAAATTATTACGCGTTATGGTGGTTAAGTTCCATGGAAACCGTTCCATTTGAGTCTGAATGGACTAACAATAATCAACGTAGAAGAATTTTAAAAAACGTACGCTTACGTTTCTGCAACGTTCAAGTCATGATGTGAGACGGTGAAAAAGCATTTATTTAGAAATCACAGAAATGAATAAAAACAGGAAGCAATCACAATAACCCTCTTATTTTTGATTCTTTTTAAATAGACGACCATCATAATGAAACGGATTTGAGCTTACACATTGGACGGAGATCTAGAATACTTTCGGTTGCAGTGAAATACTTTTGATAACTTTAACCTAGTAAAGGATAATCCTTTCTTGCTCTACCAATATCATCGGGATGTCCTCAAAAGCCCATAGCCCAAAGCCCAAAGTATGATTTGCTATATTCGATGTTTATCTGTAAAGATACGACGAACGCAATTTGTTTAGAAGACCCTGTTTACTAAGCGGTTTCCTTGTGAGTCGTATCGATGAATAATTAATCGTTATCTGCCGTTGATTTATTATAGCCTAATTTTAATGCACACTGATCCTATTCAGTTTTAACCCGGTTGCCGCATTGGCTGGTCGTGGTAAGATGGCCTCGAAACCGAAGGGAACCCCGAGGTTGAGCAGAGTGGAAGACGGGAAGACGCTGGTGCAGAAGGTCGACTTGGACACGATCCTAGTCGAGGAGATCGGACAGTTCGGATGGTATCAGCTCAGGACATTGGTGCTGTCCGCTCTTATGGTGGTCTTTGCCGCGTGGGCGGCCAGCGAATACGTGTTTACTACTGCTCGGATAAGTACCAGGTAATTACGATGTATGTATACGATACCTTAAACAAACCTAAACCTATCAAAATAAGTAATTTGAGATTTGGAATGAAAAAGTTTCTCATGGAATATATATTCATGATTAATATAATTAAATAGTATTTGTGGTAACAAATTGAAGTAAAAAGCAACATTCTTAGGTCCATCTACTATGAAGCATTTCCATGTAGTTTTAATAAAGATTTTTCTTATAATCGCTTGTACTATGGGTTCTAGATAATTGATAAACACACAGTATGTTAAGATACTTCTCTTTTGTAAATAAATACACATTATACATATATAAACATACACACTAGAAAAGTACTATGTTCCTTACACAACATTTTTCCAGTAGTGGGGATCGAACACCCTTCGGCACAAGAGACAGGTTCACTATCGTCGTTAATTCATCAATCATTCAATCATTCAATCATTCAATCATTAAATCATTAAATCATTCAATCAGATCAGATGTGCGTGATAGGCCATGAAACAGCTTCTACTGTTCCACGAATGGGCAGGCTCGTTAGGAAACTAACAGTCCTCCAGTAGACCGGCGTGAAGATGGAGTATTATACTTTCGCGTGTGACTTAGTCGCATCTGCACGCCTTCAAGTGTGGCTTGTTTTCCATGTACGGCGATAATCACTCAGCATGAGTTGAAACGCCTGCTTACTTATAACCGGTAAAGACCAACGAACGTTCACAAAGATGAACCATCACAGATGCCTGATTCCTGAATGCGAGGACGCCGGCGACGGCACGGAGTTCTCCCCGCCGTGGATCCTGAACGCGGTGCCTGGCGCGAGCATCAGCTCTTTCGACGGCTGCCAGCGGTACCCCAATGTGACGGCAGCCGCTCGACTGGACACCTGCCCGGCCGACCTGTTCGACAGAAGCAGGGTCGTCAACTGCGAGGAGTATGTCTACCAGAACAAGGACACCGTTGTATACGATGTAAGTGTTGTCTTCACAAACAATGGCGTACTTCTTTTAATGCATACTTATTAATTGTTTATTTTGTTGATTCGTTGCACTAATGCGACGAATACAATTGTTTGACAAAACTATTTGATGGATTCTACCGGTTTTTGATTCAATCACTTAGTGTTGTCAACAATTTCTCAGCTGACTTTTAATGTGAAAAGTTGCCAAGCGAGCAGGCGGTTCACCTGATGTTAAGTGAATGCCGCCGCCCATGGACATCTGCTATACCCGAGGGTTGCAGATGCGTTGACAACCTTTTAAAATAATTAATAATTCAAATTTAATATAAATGCTACACGGTTGAACGATACAATGCTCTGCCAAGCGCCACTCACTTTACCCCTACTCCTCGGTCAGCTTTAATGCGACATTCGATACACGGACAAAAAAAATTGAGGTTATGGAAAAAGTTTTACTCCAATAAGTACAGAGAAATTTAAATTCAATTATCTTTTTTCATCAAAAGAGCATTACACTCAGTTATTGATTGTCAAAATACTGCTAGCATTTCCTACTGTCTGTACCTACAGTCTGGCGATTAACTCCATCAGATCAATAAAATATCATCTTTTTCCTACCAGTACGGTTTGGCGTGCGACGAATGGAGGCGCACTCTGATCGGCTCCATGAGGACTTTGGGTACTCTGCTGGCGCTGCCCATCACCGGCTACGTGTCGGACCACTGGGGGCGAAGAGTGGCGCTCACAATAAACGCGGTGAACACCGCCTGGCTAGGAACCGTGCGCTACTGGGCCGACACTTACATCGGCTTCCTGATCTCGGAGGTCGCCGAATCCACGTTCGGGTCGGGCGGCTTCTCTTGCGCTTACATTCTGCGTAAGTGTTCTCCTAATTCCATCAGCCCCAAACTCAAGTTTTGCAGTGTAAGTTCAGATCCGGCACTAATATCTACAGTGAATTAGACACCCTTTGGATGTTAATGATAACCGTCGCCCGTGGACATTTGCAACCTCCTTAGGGTTGCAGATGCGTTATCACCTTTTAATAAAGTGGGCCCTGGATACCTCTCACCCGACGAAACGCAGAAGTGTAACACTTCTACTTCACGCCAGTCTTCTGTGAGTTCGTGGTTCTTCTCCGGACGGATCTGCCCATTCGTGCATCAGCGTAGACTGTTGCATGGCCTCGAATCAGCAACCTGGTTTGGAATGCTAGTAACGTGAACCGAAGAGATCTGGTTCTCTATTTCGGTTCAAACGGCCAGTTGCCAAGGGATTGGCTTCGGCTGCGCATCGTAGGTTCGAATCCAACACTAGACAACTATTTGTATGACACACAGATAACTGTGTCGGGTCTGGGTATTTGTCCATGTGAAATTTATGTATGCTAAACCTCCACACACAGGATTTTTTCGAAGGGAAGATTGTAGTAGTAGTATATAAAAATGAAACTACTACTGTAGCAGTACTTTAATTTTTTATGTTTCGAATAATTTTCAGGATTTATGATCACTCTCCATAATCATTTACAAATAATCAAACTAAGAGATGAACAGACAGACAGTATTTCATGCATTTAGGTATCTAATAATTTATGCGGATAGAAGACTAACATACTGCGAACTGTAGAATATAAAATACTGCTTGGTATAATATGTAAAAAAAAAGGAATTGAACCCACGTCCGGATTCGCGCCCAGACCCTTAAACCAATAAGCCATACTGGGCTTAATTCCGTCGGCAGCGAAATTTTATAAGCGAATATATTACCATTTCATTTCAAGTGCAGAGATTACTATTATAAAAAAAAAATCAAAATACTGCTTATTGTCATTCTTCCATACGGAATTTACTATGGTAACCTTCGGTTTTTATACATTTTAGAGCCTGATAGAACCAGTACTTTATCACAAAACTTTGTCTGTTCCGATATTAATTTATCAATTGTCTGGCATTTGAATTTAATACTGATACCCCGATAAGCAGCGGTAGTTCATTTGTTAGTTATCGTATAAAACTTATCTGAAGACTGAAACGAATCGAATTAATGTAGATTGACTGTTAAATTGTATTGTTATTGATTACTGTTACAAAGTAAACATATAAATGATAATTAATTAATTACTTCAAACATAAAGCTTTCAATACAATCTCAATGATAGAAATATTCACGAGAAATCATTAAAGAAATAAAAAAAAAGATAATAAAGAAAATAAAGTTATTGACAAGCGCTGAGAAGAGGAAGTATTTGTTAAATAAAAGAATTTCGCGTTGAAGTGTGATTTTAATTTCACGTCCACACTTTGCAGAGTCCATGGTGTTTTGAGTTCCTGGGGAGGTATTCTTGTAACAAGTCTCAGGGTTAACCCCATTGCTCGGGAAAAATCGCAACTGTTCATTTATTTGTACATTATCTTGGTGTCTTACAGTATCAGTGAATAAATACAGAGTTTAATAGTATGACTTATATTCCAATTTGGTAGTTAGGCACAACCATCTTCTTTATGGGAATTATGTTTTCTTTTAATTTTAACATCCTCCGTGAATCATCCTTGGAAGTAGTCGGTATTCCCTTGCGAGAAATTATGCGAATTGTTAAATATTATATAATGATTTGGATGGAAGATGAATTTTCAAATTTAGAACAAGTGCATGTCTAAAAAATAGATATATTTGACTTGAATAAAAACTTCAAAATATGTGATATTAAAGCATTGTGTTCTGCTTCAGTGATGGAACTCGTCGGGCCGAAGTATCGCGTAGCTGCCGGTGCGACCATGAACACTTTCTTCTCCGTCGGACAGGTGACGATGGGCCTCATTGCCTGGGCAATCCCCAACTGGCGGAGTTTCACGCTCGCCCTCTACCTGCCTCAGTTCCTCACTATCACCTACTTCTGGATCATGTCCGAGTCAGTCCGCTGGTACATGAGCAAGGGCAGGTACGAGGACGCGGAAGCGGTTTTGAAAACTGTAGCCAGGGTAAACAAGAAGGCGTTATCCGATAAGTCGCTGCAAGGCGCTGAAGAGGACAGCCGAAGAAGACAAGATACGACGGGAAGCGGAAGAGGCCGAGAGAGCGAACGAGCCGTGGCTAATCGTGTTGGTGTTCCGCCACAAGAGGATCTTGTTGCGCTGCCTAGTATCGCCGGTTTGGTGGATAACAACGACGTTCGTGTATTACGGGATGTCGATTAACTCGGTGAACATGTCAGGCAATCGATACTTGAATTACATCGCGGTGTCGGCGGCTGAGATCCCCGGGTACTGGACAGCCGTGCTGCTGATGGGCAGGATCGGCAGGAAGCCCGTACTTAGTGGAGCCTTCTGGGTCTGCGCGGCTTGCCAGATTGGGTATATTTTCATGCCGGAAGGTGAGACTTACTGTGTATAAAATTTTCAGAATCGATGGACATTTGATTCCAAAATGGGCGGTAGTCTTGCAAGCAGAGAGAAAATATCGTACTTTAAATGCAATAAAACCTTAATATTTTTGATAGTAGATATAAGTGATAAAAATGTTTTGAAGATAATGTGAGGTCTGTCAATCGGCAGTGGGGTCGCGTAGTGGACTTGTACAGAGGAGGCCTTGATACAGCATTAGGATATATAGGCCGTTACCTTACTTTACTATATAACAGATATACAGTTGACAAATTTTCGACGCAGTGGGATCCGAAACTGCATCTTTTGGGTTACGCTGGAAATATCGTCTGGCTTTACCTGGAATACGTAGCTTGGAATCCCGCAACGCAACAAAAAAATCTGTCAAAAGAAATTATTTAAGACCAGTCCCACAACAATCGATTAAATTTATTGAATGTAAAGACATTTCAAAACGTGAAAACCTGAATGTGAAAATACAGTGTTATTTGAATATCCTTGATACAATGACATAATCAAAATTATAGTATTGATATTATTTTATTTATTTATCACATAGCATATCTACTTTCACAACGACGTAATTTTTACAAAAGATTACCAATCTTTGTTTTCTTTTGCCTCTTGGCTGGCTCTAGTCTGACTGATGCAGAATTTGATTGGTATATTTCTTTGCTATAGGTTATACAAATATTTATTGCGGGTCATCAGTTCGATGTTATACCAACCTATACAAGTTTTCTTGTTTTTATTATGTGAGAAGGTGACAAGCGAGCTGGCAGTTCACCAGATGGTAAATGATAAGCGCCGCTCATGGACATTTGCAAGACATGGAGGGTTACAAATACTTTGCCAACTTTTGATCAAGTAACATTATTACGTAATTATAACATTATTACGGTTACTGTCAATGTTACGAATAGAACAAAAAATATGTATATTGTGTGCTTACTTAATAATTTATTTTTATTTTTATAATTTTTTTTATAGACTAATATACTAGACTCGTATAAAGAAATAAATAAATATATTACTACTCGCTTGCTGTGGCACGTCCGTTGCCTACGGACGCTTGGGGCTACTGAAAATCAACGCCCCAGTACTGCGTAGCATATGCTGAGTCGGTCCTTTCCGTCATTACATCCTTATTTATAAATTTCTTTTATTTTTATTCTTTGTATTACTTTAACTTATTATTTTTTTCCTCTTGTAATTACTTTTAGGTTATTTAATTTATTTGCTTGTTTTTTTTTTAGTTTTTTATTTTGTTTTATAAACATTGTAACCAAATGTAATATGTGTGCAGATGAAGTGTCGGATTAAATGTCTTAATGTCTTAAAAGTAGGTCCCGGTCATTTACCAGACGAAACGCAGAAGTATAATACTTCTACTTCACGCCAGTCTTCTGCGAGGTCATGGTACTTTCCCGGACGGACCTTCCTATTGGCGCTACAGCGTAGACTGCAGCGTGGCTCTACCACACATATTTGTATATGCTCGATACCACATTGAAGCCGCCGTTTGGCGGAGATAGTAGTATAGTAAAATAAAATTACGTTTCGTCTACTAGACACCGTAGACGTGATTGATGGAGATTTGCGCTACTTCGTTTATTTTCAGATCTAATATATAAAATTGTCGTGTCACGGTGTTTGTAATTGTACTCCTCCGAAACGGCTCGACCGATTTTTTTTCCTGAAATTTTGTGTGCATATCGGCCAGGGTGGAGAATCGGACAACATCTATTTTTCATCCCCCTAAATGTTAAGGGCGGTCCACCCTAAACAGTTTTTGCTATCCTACAAATACAACATTTGCCGGGACAGCTGGTCTATTCATAAAAACGTCTATTTTAGATTTGTACGCCGTGTCCCTGGCGGTATACCTCGTCGGCAAGTTCAGCATAGCGATGGTGATGACCTCAGTGTACGTGTACACCGCGGAACTGTACCCGACTAAATACCGTCACAGTCTCTTCGCCTTCTCCTCCATGATGGGAAGGATCGGCTCCATCCTTGCTCCACTGACTCCCGCCTTTGTACGTAAATGTTTATTTATAATTTCAAAAATTTTATGTTAACGCTTTATAAAAAGTTAGTTAAGATGTATAAAATCTTGGAGTTCTTGCACAAATCTTGAAGTAAACTTGTTTTATTAATTTTCTATAACTTGTACTCACAACTTTGTTCACAATTGCGAGCCAAAATTCGCTGTAATATTTCAATAATTAATTTTCAAGCAGTCCAACCGAAAAACATAAAAATTCATTACACAGTACTGCTCGTAGATAACACTATCACAGTTTATGAGGACTCCGTGGCGTAGTTGCCAAGGTATTGGCTTCGGAGTCGAGGGTCGTGGGTTTGATTCCCACACGGGACAATTATTTCTGTGACCCACAGATAATTGTTCCGAATCTGGGTGTTTGTCCGCATGAAATATATGTTTGTAAAACGTCCTTACAACACAGGATAATGTTATCCTAAAGTAAGGGCAATGTTTCGTTTAAAAAAAAGTAAAAAAAAATTATAGCAAGTCACTAACTTTTATCACTTTTTCAAGAAATAACTCGGGATAACTATTTTTAATATTATTAGGAGCCAATGTTTACTAGATTGCAGACGCCATCTATCTGATTGTATTTGTAAATCTGTCTAACCATTAAAGTTATACTTCTGCCTAGAAGGATTAGAACAAAGTACCGTAAATAAATTTCACTTTTTAATGTCACGTTTAGATGAAAGTTAGATTAGCGTATTGATTGTTGTCTAAGGTACGATACGCTTAAAATTCTTTTGAAATAAATGCTGGACTGACTTTCCTAAGCTAATGTTAACATTTAGAAGGTTAGAAAACCCATCCTATCTAATTTTATCGTGTGCATTTGATGGGCACTAATTTTGAAAAGCAAAAAACTTATTTCTTCATGCTTCTGGGAGCCCAGCTTTACATCGCAACTTGGACGCATACCAGTCTCACAAAATAAATATAATAATCATTATTTGACTACAGGGTGCAGCGGTGTGGGATGACTTGCCCTTCGCTCTGTTCGCTGGGTTCGCTCTCCTATCCGGGAGCTTGGTCCTCATCACGCCCGAGACCCTGGGCTCAAAGCTTCCCGACACAATGGAGGAAGCGGAACAAATCGGCAGGAAGCAGTCGTGATCGGAGCGATGATGCTTACTTTTATGCAGCTTAAGATAAACTAAAGACTTCGATAAGATAGTGTTCGTTCCTTCAAAGGGAAATATATGACACTAGCTTTAGATAATAATCTAGTTTTTAAGGAAGAACAAAGACTATGATACGCTACGTTATGGTTAAATGAAACTATTTTACGGATTTCATCGCGTTTTAATTTGATTTTAAATTCTGGGTGGTTTCGAACACTTTAGTGTTCATGGTCACTGGATAGTTTGAGATGTTTACCGTCTTATAACCAGAGTTAACTCGGGTTCCCGTCAATTCTTTTATTCTTCATTTTATTCTGATCTACGCAAAAATAACCACCGGCCATCTTTTCTATTGAAATTAGGACGTTTCTTATTTCAATAGCTTCATGGATCAAACTTGAAAAAAATTGGTGTTCTTTTGAGAGTATTTGCCGTTTGTCGAATGTAGTATGATGTGGTTTGAGTATAAAATATGATCATAAACTGCTTCTTCAATAGTTGGCGTTTATATTAGCTATGTGTTCCGTTTCCTTGGTCCTTGACGATCTTTTATTAAAATCGGTAGAATACTTTTATTCGGTATATGTACGGTATGTACAGTATTGTACCATGTACAGTATTCGCGTAAATATAAGAAATTAATATTATTTTAATGAATGCCGGCATCCTGAGCTGGTAAATACTCAATCTGATAAAGAAGAAGCAAACTGTTACTACTTTCAAATAGATATTATTAGTTGATCTGTGCGAAATTTTCAAAGTTAAAATGTCTGTTAAATAATTATGACTAAATTTATCAACGGGAGGAGATACCTTCCGTTGATAAATCTGGGGGAGTAGAAGAATCACGTCTTTCAGCTTCAATATCTTTCATTTAAACAATTGTCAATAGATGGCGCTATCGTACATTCTATAAATAAAATGCGAAACGATTTGTTTATGAAAACATTAAAATTATTCTGCTGTTTAAGTTTCGCCAATAGCGGCAAACATAGGCTTTAAAATATTGCTTGAATCAATTAATTTGATGAAGAATTATGGAGGTTAAAGCGTACCCACCAAAAAACACCTGTGCAAAATAATGAACAGAGATAATGTTATTCAGACAGTGTAATAAAGTTGCAATATAACTTTAACTTAATAGTAGTATAACTTTAACTTAATAAGGAAATATTGATTGAATGTTGTAAGCTAAGCATCTTAAATTGGTATTATTGAACCAAGTCCTTTATATTAAAATCTGAGATAGAGACGGCGAAATATCGGAGAAATCTGACCAAATCCGTATCAACGTTAATGAAAAAAATCGTTATCGGAGAAGTTTTTGAAAATGCGTACCCGTCAGGAAGATTATACTAAGTGTATATAATTTATACTCTGTAATCACTGTATCATACAACAAAATATAAGCGTAAACGATAGAATGATTTTTGTACGCAGTGTAACGGCGGATTTCATATTTTTCATGATCTAAACGTTTCCGATGAATTTTACTTTTTAAGACTAATTTATAGTCGGCGAGGGAAAACATCGTAAGGAAACCTGCATATCTTCGAAATAATAAAAACAAATTTTTTTCGCCATAGTTCGCCAATCCGCAATGGGGTTGCGAGGTGGACTATGTCCTAATACTCTCTATACGGGGGTGGTCTTACCCCAGCAGTAGAAGATTTATAGACTGTTACTTTAATACTAATTTTGGTTAAGTTTTTCTATCCTGTATATGTCATTTGGTTGTCACAGGTATTCATTAAATATTTAACGACCATATGATCGTGACCTGCCTTCGTCGACTCTCTTTGGGAATAAGCACAATCTAAACCTGACTGTGGGTCACACAAAAAATTGTCCCGTGTTGGAATCGAATTCATGACCCCGGTGCTGAAGTCAACAGCTTTTGCACCATCGAGTTATCCAATTGTACACAGAATGTCTTACAGAAATGTTTGTTTCGGTCATTTCTTCTGACGACTACGGTAGCGTCACTACATGACAATTCCGTTTGCTATTGTTCGAACGTTGTCTAGAAAGTACAACTCACTGCATGATCGCTAATCACGAAACAAATGCATGCTATTTTAACTAGCAACAAATAATAATACATCAAGTACATAAAACAGACGTAGATTTTAGGCCAGTTTGAAATTAAGGTTAGTGATGATAATCCTTTGTAATAGAGTAAAAATAAATATGTATCATATGGATCAATGGAAACACCTGGTTTTTTTTGACTATAACAAAAAGCTGTTGATTAAACAAAAATCTGATAAAGTTTATAACAAAACTGTAACAAGAAGTTGCATTAAACAAGAATTGCTATTTAAATTTGTAAGGCAATACGCCTTGTAAGTGTTAGGTTATAATTTTTATTTAATGGGCTCCGTACCCAAAGGGTAAAACGGGGCCCTATAATATATATAAGATTTCGCTGTCTGTCTGTCCGTCTGTAACCAGACTGTATCTCATGAACCGTGATAGTTAGACAGTTAAAATTTTCACAGATGATGTGTTTCTGTTGCCGCCATTACAACAAATACTAAAAAACAGAATATATAATGTTTAAGTGGGGGCTCCCATATAAACATGATTTTTTTTATAGATAACGAAACTTTTTGTGCGTGAATCCGACTCCCACTTTGCCGGCCCTGCCGGGGGCTGTGGGTTCGATTCCCACGGGACAAGCATTTGTGATTTTTCTTTGAGACCCACATATATCTCAGGATTTATGTTTTTGTCTACGTGAAATTTGTTCCGGACGCTCAAGGAGGTGACTCGAGCATTTGTGGCATAGAACTTTCAGGCATGCGGTCTCACTGCAGACTGGTAAAACAAACCAACGGAATGTGCACGAATATAATGTTATAAACTAACGCTTTTTTGACTCTTCTCTCTAAACATAATTCTCTTGTTGTGATAAAGAGCAAAGCCCATAAGTTAAACACAAAAGGTGGCAAAAACTTTACCGACCATACTAGGACCCGTTATAGTTACGTTCTATGTGCGTGCGTGTGTCTTGCGTGTGTGCGGGTGTGTGTGTGTGATCAACGTACCTAATGATAAGTGGTTATGCAGTCATTTGTGTCTTACTTAAATGCATCGCTTTTTAGACTAGATACTTAAGCCCTGTACTGCGGTGGGGCCACGCAACAGTTTACACTGTTGCACGAATGGGCAGGTCCGTCGGGGTAAGTACCACGACCTCGCAGAAGACCGGCGTAAAGTAGAAGTGTTACACTTCTGCGTTTCGTCTAGTGAGTGGAGTAGTGTAGTAGCCGCGGGCCACTTTATTTATAAGTGGCAACGCACTTACAACCCTACGGGTGTTGAAAATGTCCATGGGCGGCGGTAATTACTTAACATCAGGTGAACCGTTTGACACTTTTTCACATGAAAAAAAGCCGGTGCATATATGAAGCAGATATTTCAACAAATATTACAAGTGCAGAAGTGCTCAATCACTAGGGCGGGCGTGGCCCACGGCCAGTGTAACGGTGACCAGTGATATGAACGAGATGCTAATGAATTCACGCGCACCGTTCGAATTGTATGCAAGCTACATTGTCCCTGCGTCAGACGCCCGTTGAACATTGTGCGGTTATTTTCATAACACTGCCTGCACCGAAGTACGTCACGCTCTACACGCTGTACGGCCGTCCTGGCCATACCACGGAGTTGTTATGAAACATTGACATTGACAGCATCTCGGGGCCGATCGAGAAACGATTGGTCATTTGTCTAGCTACTCATTAGTCAAAACTCAACCATCGCTAGCTTCATTAAGCTGCGACGATGGATATTTTATCGAAACGACTCTTGCATTGCTATAGGATCGGTTTCCCTTATGCTTAATATTATATTATGATAAATACGAAGTTCGATTTTTTTTATTTACATAAATAAATATCCCCTGCAAAAGTTTTTACATTTGTTAAAACAAATGTATATTAATTTTTAACGTTGTCTCTTTACCTTTAAATCAACTACTTTTTTATATACCAGCTGCTGCCCGCGACTATGTCTGCGTAGAATAGGCTGAAGACGTAACATTCAGACAGAAACACAGATATACATAAAAATATGTATATAAATTAAAGCCTATATGTTATTCTGATGTATAAGCTATATCATTGTAAAGTTTCATTAAAATTTATTCAGTAGTATTTGCGTGAAAGAGTATCAAACATCCATCCATACATTAGAACTTTCGCCTTTATAATATTAGTAAGTATTGCCCAGTATGTTGACTTGTAGAGAATGTCACCGCAGATACATAAGATTTATGTGGAATTTAAAATAAAATTCACCAGTAAATACATATCGCCTGTAAAGAAGAATTTGGTACCAATAGTACGTAAAGTAGCAACTGTTACTTTTAATTTTAACTACCTCGCAAAATACCGGCGCGAAGTGGAAGTATTTCACTTCTGCGTTTCTTCTGGTGACTGAGGTAACCGGGGCCCACTTTATTTAAAGGCGGTAACATATCTGCAACCCCACGGGAGCTGCAAATGTCCATTGGCGGCGCTTATCACTTAACATCAGATAAACCGCAAGCTCGTTTGCCACCTACTAAAATAAAATAAAAAAGACGTTTAAAATACTTTGACTTTATTGCTGTGAATATCAAAACAATATAGCTTTCTTTGGCATCATCTGCCCATTGTACAATTATAAGCAAATCAGTTATAATTATGATCGATATGTTGGACGCTGATTCTGCTCCGTACTAGTAGTGTATTTTATTGTAGTTCCTTTATGTATTAAAATAAATAAAAAAAAGTAAATCATGCAACAGTGAGAGTTGCGAGTGATGTAATGCTATAAATTTTCGTTACAATCTTTGTGAAACGATTTTGCCTGAATACAGATTTCAGAGAGGTTGGCACCAAAAACAACAAACGGTGCACACAACGGTGTCGAACACAACACTGTTGGTTGCTTCCCTCCTCAAACACAACAAATAGTGATGTCTGGAGAAGAAGGGAAGTA